CAAAGTAACGTTAATGCATTCTATAGTTTCATTCCAGATGACAACAGAGAGAAGATGAATCCGTGGCTCTTTATTCCTCTTTAATACAACTTCAGGTTCTGCCTGTCACACAGCTGATTGCCACAGAAATGCAGTGTGCCGCTATTTCATTTATTTCTAACCATGCTAGTGTAGTCCGCTGTTAAATTGCAATTTCTACTGGCAGCTCAAGCCCTAGGGCTGCCAATAGACATTGTTAAGACAATAAAGTTCTGCACAGAGCAGCAAAGAAGATTACTGATAGCAGAGGTTAGAGAGAGAAGTGAACGTTGCAGACTGACTCTAATAGCATGACGCTGCTATAGCAGGAACAACAACATCTTAATTACTTACCTTGGTATCAGCTTTTAAGATAAAGAACAAGAAATGATTTATAGTATGAAAAGAATGTTTTAGTATTTCCAACCTGAGCCAAATCTTTAGGCTCGGATGAAATAAAACTGGATATGATCTTCATGAACTACATGAAAGACTCAAACCTGAGATAAAACTGGAAAATGTAACACCGGCGCTCGACTGACATCCCCACACGGACGCCTTCTGCCTTCTGGAGAAGGCTGAACGAGTTGCACCCCATCACAGGTAACAATGTCTGGAGCGCTCAAGGTGAGGCGTTCAAGTCTAAATCGGTGTCTGAGTCGTGCAGAGGTAGCATCGTGCTAAGGGAGTGTTTTTCTGCAAGTGGTGGTGGTGCTTTGCACATAGTGAGTGAAGTAATGAAAGATTACTACCTTTAATTTCTTTGAATTTACCATGAAATCAGAAGGTAAAAGGTCAAAACTTGACGCATCAACAGGGCCAGGTTTATGAGAATGTGGGCCCCCCGGACTGGGCCCGGTTTTGGTGCTTTATCCACCGCAGAAAAAACATTTTGCTGATAAAAATCCCAGAGCAGTAACAGGTAGCCCTATATAACAATGAGCATTGTTTGTATTCATAAAACTCCCAAACTACTAATAAAGCTCATCAGTTTATTGTTCTTTGTCTAAGAAATGAAGTCCATTTTCACCATGAGCACCACTGAATGACATTAATTTATATATTTCTAGGAGAGCATATTTAAGTTTCAGCCACAATGTGCAGTTCAGACCAAATGTTGATTACAGAAAACCTACATTCAGCTTATACTTGTTTCCTCTCCTCATCCTGCAAAAGGAAGAGAAAAAAACAAATGTGGGACATCCGACTGACGTCCCGTGAAAGTGAAATATCTGATGAACTCAGAGTAACTCTGCTGTGAACCATTTCCAAACATTGGAGATAGCAGCTCATAAATCATCGAAAATGTGCTCATTTTGAAAACAAACTGATTATACACTATCCTGTATTGTAAAAGTCTTTGGCACTATATATATATATATATATATATATATATATATATATATATATATATATATATATATATATATATATATATATATATATATACAGTACATGACCGTCTTTCCTGCTGATGTTGGACTTTCCGCTTCTCTTTCTTCTCCTCAAACACCTTTTGTGCTCACGCAGATGAAAAATAAGCTGGAAGATGAGACAAATTGGATGTGAGGCAGTCATTTCTTGTCTCATTACTGCACAATTTCTCCTGCAAATCTCATTGTGCTGCCACAATTACAGACTACACAGCACCGAGTGAGCCAAAACACCAAGTAGGACAGAGGACAAACCGGGGACATGCACGAGAGTTTCTGCACGGACACACAGACTTGATGAGTCCTTGACGAATAGAAAAGCAGATGGGTTTCCTGGCTTTTAACTCTCAGAGGGGTTTGTGTGGGTTTTTTTTTTTTCCCTTCTTTTTTTTTTCAAAAGCTAACAGTGAATAAGCCTGCAGTCGGATCATCTTGGTTGGGAGTCTTTCCACACTGAATGGATTTTGGAAGTAATACTTGATCTGAGCCTTTGGGATTTGGAGGAAGAACTCCTTCGGCTGCACAGAAATCCCAGTGCAGAGACGCACTCCATCTACGACTTTCTGGAAAGTGACCAGCAAGGATGAGAACTCGGTGAAAAACAAAAATGGATAGAGTCCAGTGTAAAGATCACAAGCAACCTGTCTTGTCGATGCGCTGTCCTCCAAAGTCTTGGAAGAACATATAGATACGTTCAGTAGAGGAAGAGAAATCAGACGAAGCTGGAAAATTCCCTCGGCGCCGCAGTGGAGGTAGAAACACAAGAGATGGAAAAGAAAATCACGACATCTGAACATCACGCTTCATTAATTGGAAGTGAATTATACTCCTTGACTGCCGCTTCCTTGCAAACACGGATCAGGCAGCAGGGGTGTCAACAAATACAGCCGCAGATTAGGAGTCGACCTTAATCCCTGTGGGATGCAGCGGAGCTGGTGGGACAGAGGAATGCAGTGGACCTTATTGTTAGATATCACAACATGTAGCATTGAATTTGTTTCGACTTCAGCTGAGACGTGAGATTTTGCATGAAACTGATTTTATAATCAGAGTACATGAAACTGATTTTATAATCAGAGTACATGAAACTGATTTTATAATCAGAGTACATGAAACTGATTTTATAATCAGAGTACATTGAATAGGTACTCAAACCCCTTGAAAGCTTCAACATTTTCTTGTTTCAGCTGTTTGCTGTAAACTGTGTGTCGAACGTAAGACTCCTTTTACAGATCACATCATTTTACAAACACAGAAATATATCCACACCCACCTGGTGGTGGATTTCCTTTCCATGTCACAGTTATGTGCTTCTTTGCTTTTTTTTTTCCCCTCCCATTTTTCTTTGAAAAACGGGTCAAGCTCGGTCAGATTAAACGGAGAAGGGGTTTCAAAGTCGATATTTTCATTTTGGATTCGAGTCCGACGCATCTCGACCATCGTGGTGTTTAACGCTCCCTCTGCTGCTGGAGGGTGAACCTCGCTGGTCTCAGGTTTTAACACTCTCTGTGAGAAAAGACTCATTAAGTTCTTCCCCTGAAAGCTACAAAAACAAAGTTATTTCCACCCAGGCCATTTCATACTCTGCCAAAATGTGAATGCAGAACTGTAGTTAGTGTACTAAACATGTTCGCTTTGAAAGAAAACCACGCACAGAGAAATGAGGGGTCATGCTCAGACGATGTGCCAGGAGCCAAACTTAAACCGAGGCTACAGGAACAGAATTGTGTCATTTTGTTTTTTTACGGTCGTGGGAGAGGGAGCAAGCGCCTCTGGTCCTGATGAGTGAACATGGACTTCGTTCAAGTTGCATTTCAAAATACGCTGCAGTTTGATCCCCACCGGGTCCTTTGCATGACTTTCTGTGTTCTTCACCTTCACAATTATGCCTTATTGTGGATTTATCTATCATAAAAAAAATAAATGAATAAAATGAAATTCATCCATGCTTGTGGATCATAACGAGTAAAGGCTCGATGAAAGTAAACACATTTGGAAAATACATCAATTATCCAGCTTGAAGTGAAAATATTCATCTTCAGCCTCTGACTTTATGTCTGTTAAATGATACCCTGATGTTCATAGGGCAGGATGATTTGCCCTGTGACATTTTATTACTGTACAATGATCCATACGGTAACCGTATACCAGTCTAATCCTGTTACTCTCAAGGTCTAACAGACTATCTGTGGCAGGTTCCCAGAAGTGCACTCTGCAGGTGGGCCGCATTGTTTCCCCGACGCGCTCCAAAGCCTGCGTTTTGTGTTTTTGCCTAATTAGTTTAATAGAGGAGGCTAAATGAAGACGTAGTACACGTGCGTGGGGCGGCGATATTACATCCAGGGCCTAAATTTACTCACAGTATTATCGAAAGCAAATTTGCCGCCGAGCAGATTTGCTGTAGGTAGCCAAACATCTGTTTGAAGAGGGCTATTTATTCTGAAGTGGTGGTAATCATTGCGATGTGGCTCACATTGCAGAGGTGCTGCTCCAGACTGGTATAAAATTACGTTTTGCAAATCAATTTAGCTCTAGCCCTTTTTTCTCAATTAAATCAGGGGAATGTCGCCGATGCATTTGTTTGAAAGGGAATAAAGCACATTTGTTCTGCGGAGGTCGCTGACTAAAAGTAATACCATTAAGAAAAAGCTTATATCCAGAATTTGTGCAACTTAAACACTTTCGGTTAAGAAAAGTAGCTTTGTTTCTACAGTAATCACACTAAATGCAAAGGTTAATTCTGGATTTTTTACTATTTTAATTTACAAGATATTTCATTAGCATTATCTTGACATTTCCAGAAGTTGCAGGAAAGTGATTATAATACAACAAACTTAATCCCACATGACAAAATCTTTTGAACCCCTTTTTGATATTTTTGTTTTCTTTTTATAAATGACTGCCTCAGGTCAACTTTGCCCTCCGTTTAACACAGATGACAAAATAAATGTTTCACTGAGAGGATATGTTTGTTGCTTCACCGTGTGGTTAAATGTGGAAACTGTGGAGCGGAAAAGTTAATAAAACTGATTCATTAAAAAAAAAAGATGGTCTCTGTTGCAAAACATTGTAGTCATTTTCCAAAAAATCTGCACTCAAATGTTCAACACCGATCAAGTTCAGCATTTATAAATGACTTTTGTTCCTGTTAGTTTGTTCCTTGACGAAACTCAGTGTAACTTTTTTCTTTTTTTTTTTTTTGTTTTACAAAAAAACAGTCATAGGAAACATTTCTGATCGTATTTCTCTTTTTAGATACTTCAGCAAAGTTCATGCCGTTTAAAGTCAATTTTATCTTTTGTAAGACAAAATTTTCTATATGTGGAAATTCATAATATTAATACATTTAGTGCTACATTCAACAAGCGGTTTGTAGTCCATGTACTTCTGGTTTTCATCAGCATCATTTATCAGATTGATACAATTGATGGTCTCCACACAGGCACACCTGCTAGAAGGAAACAAACGCACCCAGTACGACACTTTCATTCTATTGGCTGAGAGGTTGCTAGGCGACGGTGCATTATTTTTTTTTGTTCCAGAAGCAAACAGAAAATGTTTCGTAAGCGAGCAGAGAGTCCGAGCAGAGACGCCTTGAGAAGAAATACAGGAAGTGCTGCTTTCAAAATGAAAATGTAAGCAAAAGTCTTAAAAGTTTTGAGAACAAAAGACATGAAATCTGATTTCAGACTGAAAACGTATGCTCTTGGATTATGGCATGAAAATAACTGAATCATAATTGAGACACAAGACTAGCAGAAACAGTAAATTGATTCATTATTAATCACAAACAAATGTAAAAATACATGCAAGATTTACCTAAAATATATTTACTTTTAAATAATTATTGACAAAAGCAACTTTATAAGCTAAAAAAGTTTGCTTGAAACACTGAAATGTGTCCAAGTGAGTTTTAGCATTGACTGTGTCGATCCTTAAATAACACATTGTATCCTCTTCTGGATAGAGTTTCTTGATATTCTTAGCAAGATTTATAGTGTTTCACAGAGGTGATGCTAAAAACAGATGTTGGATCCATATTTTGCTGTCCTGAAATGATATAGACTAGAGCTGAGGTCTGCAACTCTGGAGCCACATGCTGGTCTCCACCACTTTAACTGTAAAACAAAAAAAATAATAATAAAAACCTTACGAATAAATGTTTATATTTCAATAGCAATGGAATTATTATTCTTTTATGTTAGGTAATAAATCCATAGTGTTTAGAATGACACATGCCTGTGTGTGTCATTGCTGACATGACGACGAAAGGCTCATTTAAGCCTTGTTCTGTCACTTTCACATGCATATATTCTTCTCACACATAAACTGTTTTTTTCTCACCCAAACATATATTTTCCCCCATCATATAATGATGCATCCCTTTAAAAATAAATCCCTCTCCTATTTCATATGTGCATATTTGTCACCCAACTATAAATCATCTCACTCACTAGCAGCAGTCTTCACATATTAAAATGTGTAAAACACCTTCCAATAAATTCATTTTAATTGCAGTAGCATAGTCTCACCCAAAAGATGCTACCCTTTAGTTTAACTGTATTCAGTAGGAGCAATAAAAATCCAATGTTGTAAAATAAGTTTTAATTAAGTTACCCATTCCACAATTAGTGAGTCCCCTGCTCTTAATATTATGCACAACTCCCTTTTTGCAAAAGACGACATTTTCTAATCTTAAAAGTCCCCTCACTCGTAAAAAATCTCTAAAGGGAGAGATTTCTGTTTTGCTCTAAAGGGAAAACAGAAAGTGTAGTTTTGCTCCTCGAATACGATTCATAGATGTGTGTGGTTATTTTATTTTTTTTTTGTTTAAAATCTCTAAATAATTTCAACAAGCGCAGAAATTATTTGTGTGCTTGTGACAAAAGAAATTGGTTTCCTAATGCAGTTTACACACTCTCAGCAAAAATAGTATAATATGTATAGCTCTAATTTAGTAGTAGTATTTCATGGAAGGATAACATTTTGCAGGTTTAGACAGATTTTATTTGGAGGTAAAGAGGAAAAAATTGTTCCTGTAGTCAGAAAGATTCCAGATTAGACTTCGATGAGCTAAAATGAAATGATAACGTGCAATGTAATACCGATACGGGCATTGCTGTATTACTTAGAAACACCGATTTGTTCTATTTTACCTATAAACCGTCTAAACTTAACCGTCAAACTTTGCGAACACAAGTCCAACAATGGAAAATGATGATTCTTCTAAGCAGAGGGATTTTCTGTTAGCAGGAGTGAAAAGGCTATGGAGATAAATGCACCATTTTAACTGTTCAAAAAATGTTTTTCAACATCTATTTCTGGCTGTAAAAACATTTTAGCCAGTCTGATCCAACAATATGTGATGTTCACGGCCAACAGGGGCATCTGTTAAAAATCAGATTAGCCTTTGTCAATCACTCATCTTTGCTTTGTGAAGAACTATTCTGTCCTAGAAGCAACTAAAATACTTGACTGACTTGAGAAATACTCAATATGTTTGTAGCTCTGTAAAGTAGGTCAGAAAGCCACATCTCTAATGGTTCATCTTCCTCTGCTCAGACACTATTTCATTTATTTTTGCGTTGCCCTTTCCTTCGCTGACTTTCTGTCATCAGGCCTCCAAAAGGCCAAAAACTCTCCTAGTGCCAAACAGAAACCCAGGCTTGACGTGGCTGGAGCAGTTAGTCAACTAGCAGTGAAACCAGGGATGTTATCAGGTCAGATTCACGGGTTGGCAGAGGATGACTCAGCCTCCAAACAGCAGCAGCATGAAACACCTCTGACTAAGTCCGTGGCAGCAAAAGCAGACAGGCGGACTCTGCGTCTGCCTCCACGGACACAAGAAGGAAGAGAAACAGGTGTTAGCATGTTAGCATGCTAGCTTTAGGTTTAGCTAACTTAGCTTCAGACAACTGCAGCACAGCTGAATTATTATAATCTTTTTTGACCACCGGTGAAAGATGACATGGAAATTAATCTCAGAGCTCTGAACATGTTTTTGTTTTAGGTTATTTTAAACGGCTACAAACGACTAAAAATATGTTTGTCCGTCTGGCTGTTAGCCTTCCTCAAACCCACGGCAATATCACGTTCCATATGCAGGTGTGGAAATTATTGTTGACAATAATGCCCTTAAATTCAACTTTTCTCATCTTAAACATCTCTTTTGTGCACGTTTGCTTGTTTTGTTGCATTTCTTTTGCAGTACAATTATTTTTACAGTACTGAGAACAGATAGCCGTCTGTCTTCTTTCATTAAACGGTCTTATCTTTGGTTTCGTTATTGTTTTTATTCTAAACAAGCCATGTGTTATAAAAAGGTGCTTTAAAAAATTAATAGGAGTTTTATTTCCCCACCAACAGCAGAGATTAATTTCATAATCTCTATGACACAATGACAGTCAGAGATTCCCCAAAGATAACCTGCACTGTAACAAAGTGTCTCTTATCATCTTATATTTATGCTCTTATCTATTAGCACCTGGAGTGGTGGACCCCCCACCCCCACCTCCCAGCCTGTGACACACCACTCAAGGTCTCTACAGTTTCTTTATCCATCACAAGGGCGTCCATCTCTTTTGCAAACGCGCCCCGATCTCATGCTGTGCAGTGTCAACGTAATTTACTGTCTCATAAAGCAGGACCCTTTGAGACTTTAATGGTGATTACAGACCACCCTGAGAACCAATAACAGCCGAGAGCTGGGACGGGGAGGGTCTGCACACCTACACTCCCTGTCATCCAGGGCACTTAGTCTTTGACTGCTTGCCTGATGTCCTTTCAGGTGACCCTCCACAAAACGAATCCTGGCTGCTGTTTCAGCACCTGGTTTCACAGGGCAGATGTTTTTGTTGTGTTGGGACTCACTCCAAGACGAGGAGCGTTTACATATTCTAAGAGTCTGAGCAACTGCACAGTTGTCACTGTTAAAACTCTTAGGGTTATTTTATTTTTTGGAAGCGCGTGTTATTGTGTTTGGAACAACGTTGTTCGCAAACCACGTTTTCCAAGTCAAGCGTGAAATGACTGACATTAACATTTCCATGCAGGATGCATGATATAAAATATAGGGTGTAAATTCAATGATTGACCTTTCAAACTAATTCAGCAAGTTCATATTTAACATTTTTATCTTTTTTTTTTAATGTTAAACTCAACTTTTCAATAGACTGTTCTGATTCCAAAAACAATGAATTAGATACATTGACCTGTACTTTTAAGAAGCGGTTCACAGAACGTGTGATGGAAGTTCTCTTGCTTTAAAGATCTGTTCCTTTTTCTCCTTTCCCTGATTAGGAAGATTTGCAAGATTATGAGGAAACCTTGATCTAAATCAGCGTTTAAAACCTTTTGTCTGGTCTAATCAGTACTCGGGACATAAACGGTAATCAGGAAATTAGCAAAGAGTGAGGCTCAGTTTGGGAGAATAAATGAACAGAAGTGTCTTCGTAATGACACTAATTTGGCAAGACACAAAAAAGTCAGAGGCTATTTCAGCTTGTTTTACTTAAAAAAAAAACAAAACAGTAAGCCAAAGTCATGTTAGATGCAGAAAGACAAACTGTTAGAGTTGGGATGCAGCTGCTATGCAGAAGCCATAGTCCTCAGCTGCAGCCTCTGCTATAGAAAGAACCCATACACAAGTCATTATTTTTCCTCAATTAAGAAAAAGAGCCACTGCAACCAGTGGCAGACCCACTTTTCCACTCTTTAGCAGTCTTAGAGGGTCTTGGAAATACCCTGTAAGACCACAATGTCAATACTTTGGGGTATTTGGGGTTGGAGAGAATGATTCCCTGAATTGTTGACCTCAATCGAACTGGATGCGTCAGAATGACCAAATGCTGGTTGAGGAATGAGGTGCCAGCCTGTGGTGACCACAGGGAGGTTCCAACCTGTTGTGGTTGTGAGTAGTTCTTCCACAGACTACCTCGTCCGTTACGTTACATGTGTTGTTTTTATTTCAAACCTAAGACTTAATTGCGACATAACTTGTTTGACAAAAGGAGATGATTTGGGGTGCAACTGCTGCAGAACCCACAAATGACTTTTCCGTATAAAAGTGCAATGAAGGGACTAAATAAGCTGTCCAGTGGTGCAAAAGTTATTGTCAACACAAACTTCCTCACTTTTTATGCTTACACTGGTTTTTGATTAACCCTGACTATAACCCTTGCCTGGAAATAATCTCCTTGTTTCTAATTTGTGTCTAATTTGGATAGAAATCAGCTTAATCTCACTGTTACAGTTAGAAACAAAAGGGATTTATTTGTGGAACCACATGTGCTGCTTCTCTGACTGCCACAGACTGCAGTGTAATGGTGATTTTTCTTTTTTTCTCCCAGCAAACTCTACGGTGAGGATAATCCAGGATCTCCAGACCTCTCAGTCGTTGATAAGATTACAAGGTCTCAGATGAAATAGAGACATGAGCAAAGGTTTGAAGGCCAGGGAGGAGCCAGTCAGGACCGAGGTAATGTCACTGCTGTTTCAATGTTTATTGGGAGCGGCACACACACACACACACACACACAAGCATTTCCCTGTATTGATCTGTCCATAAAAAGAGTTGAGGTCAGCAGGCATATGTCTAAATTTCTTTCTCTGTGTCGCTCACACTCCATTTGTCTCTGTCTGATTCAATACTCTCCTCCCCCCCCATCAGGGGGCCGTGTCTCAGCCGTACATCTGCGACTCCCTTTCCCTGACCCTCGCTCACACGCCGGAGTTTCTTTGTCTCCGTCTCTTTGCCCTTCACTTGACATCCATAAATCAATCAGACCAATTTCATCCAGAACAAAGCCTGATGGATTTGCTTCGGAGCCACCGTCCTGATAAAGTAACGGCATCCAGAGTGTAATTACCCTTTGAATTAGATGATGTGGCTATGTGACCATGGATTTGATTTAGCTTAATTTTCAGCTATCTCTCTCATACACACAACCACACACATACAGAGATAATATGCAATCCTGCAATAATGGTGTTAAAAAAAAAACTGAGACTTGGAGCTTTTTTTTCTTTTAGCTCTTTCCGCTTGTTAACTATTTATTTGTTGACTGGAAAGAGTTAAATACTTATTTTCATGTCACCCTTTGGTTTGAGGGCAGCTGTTAGGAGTTGACAAGGTGGAGGACCTGATTCACACCAGCCCTGTTCAGTGTCTGTTCGGTTGAAATGAATTCTGGTGCGGGTTCGAATGCATATGTGAATGCAAGCAAGACCACCCCAAGACAGACTGTATCACGGGGCATTCTGGGTAAATACGGCCAAAAACAATTGTAAGGCTCATGGTCTCTTACTAAAGACGACTGCTAACGTTTTCTTTTCATAGTGTGAGGAGGGAAGTTGCGTTCATGTCTTCTTCAGAGCTCTTTGTGCCGTTCCCGCCAGTGGTTCTTGATGCAGCGCCACCGCAGGCGAGGAGGTGAACAGGTTTTTCAAAGGGTTTGCTTCATTTGACGCAGTGCAGTGTGAAAGCGAACAGCACCAGCTGAAAATGTAACAAATAGTGCAGCTTTGGTCCCCGTTTGAACCAAATCTACCAGACCATCAGGTGTGACAACATTCATCAAACAGGAATCCAGAAACCTCATACTGACTATGCATTTTGTTTGGTTGTTGTTGCTTTTTAGCACATTTGGATTGATAGGAACACTTGAATTCATTAATTTGGATGAATAGTTATTGGTATTTTTATGCATATTTAATTGTTTCTGGGTTTTATTTCCTGTTGGATGGCAACGAATTATTTTGGAGTGAATGCAAGAGTACTTGAGGGCCTTTCTGATGAGAACAAGAACCACATCCAATCTTTGTTAAAAGGCCGTCTGAGCACAATTAACAAAAGAACATGGATCGCTGAAAGGATTTGTTTCATCCTGGTATTGATTGTTTGTCTCATATAACAAATTGTAATGCAGGAAATGTGTTTCCATAACTCAAAATGAAAACATTTCTTTTCTCCAGGCACATATTTATTCTGTTCTGATGAGTTCACCTATAAAATCTGATTCCACATTCACACCTCTCCTATAAATTAGCATTTTTCTAATAGCTTTACCGATACATCGCAGCTCATTTGACCATAAAATCCACCCCTCTTTTGTTTTTTCCCTCTTAACGTACAGTGATCAAAGCGCAACACGTCAAAGAAACACATGTGAACACGTAGAGGCTGTGCTCTGACTGCAGCATCAGGGAGGAGAATAATTAAACGAGCCATGCCTGAATCTTAACACTCTCCCTCACAGATGGAGCTGATAGCTGATCAATACCTGCCAGACTCAATCAGCCAATAACGTCCTGCAGCCTAACCCGACTCGGCTCTCCGTTGCCGTGTTCAGACCGAGCTGCGGCACCCCGGGGGCTGATACGTCCTCCAGCGTCTCTGTCATTTGTCTTTAGATCTGCCTTCATCTGAAAGCCGAGTTCCCTCTCCGTTCCCCCCACCCCACTGTCAGTGATTTATGCTCGTCCCCCCGCTTGTCACCGTGGGACACTCCAGGTCCACGCACGCTCCTTGGCACACACTCCTTTAGTCTCGCTCTCTGTTTTTCTCACAGAGGGTTGACACAGGTATCCGTGTTGCTGAAACATGTTCCCGTCTAATGAGCAGGTGGAGGCTGTGTGAGGGGAACAAACAACCCTCCCCACCCCCGTTCAGCCGTCGTTTGTGAAACAGCGAGGTTGCTTTTTTTTCCCTTTGACTTTTTGCTGTGTCATGTTTTAAGCCAAATTTGACATAACACCGAATGATAAATATGCAGCACGGTTCTGTCTCCCTATTTTGCTCTTGGTTTGTTCCTTTAATTTTTCATTTTCTCATTTTGCCCTCAATGTCTCCCTCTACAGGCAATTTAGGGGGGCAGTGAAGTGTGAAGGAAACAATTTGTTCTCATATTCAGCCACGGTCACTGACACACGCAAGCTTGCGTGCAGGCTTTTTGAAATTTCTGCTTTTTAAAGGAGCCGGATGAAAGCCGTTCACCTGCAGAGCTGATAAACTCAAAGTCAACATATTTTTTTTAATATACTTTCAAAACAGAGAAAAAAAAATGTTGAAAAAGTACAGCTACAAAAAGACTTAAGATCAAAAACCAAACTACTTTTTGATATCTCAGTTATTATTTACTTAGACATAAAAATCTGGGACTAAATATCGTCTTTCTTTTCAACCAACAAAATCCCCTAGCTTCCATTATTTTACCTGTATACCAGTCAATGAAAGTGGCTAGGCTGTAAGAAAATGTGATTGGTTGGATTTATATTGCTGTGCAGGTAAGCCATCTAAATTACCACATAAATAAATACAAACTTGACAAATTGTTACATATTGGAGTTAGACTTCAATCACAAACCTTATCATTTCTGAGAAACACGAGATGTTTCTCAGAAACTCATTAAATGTTTCTCCGCCGGCTCGGTAGGTGGCAGCATGTGTTTGTAATGAAAACCCACGAGCAGGAAGTCGAAGTCCGGAAGAGACGTGGCACATAAACACATAGAGGAAGCAGACAGCCCAGGTTTATGATGACATCCCCTGTAGCAACTTTCATTGGGAATTTAGGGAGACACCTTAAATGACAGCATTGCAGAAGTACTTGAAACAAACGACTCTTCTTTAATGTCAGCGTGACGGCTGACGAGGTGAGTTTTTACTTTGTTACTTCCGTAGCTCCTGCAGCTAGCCGCATTAGCTCGCTGAGCTAGCAGCTAACCAATGTGAGAGTCGTAAAATGTGGGAGTGAAGCTGTCAGAAGATGTTTTTGTGTTGCTGAAAAGATGTGGTACTGATATCTAAACATGTTTTTTAAAGGGTAGCTTATTAAAAAGCCTCAGAGTTTGTGATAGCGGGTGGTGAGGTTGAACTTTGGTCAACGTGTAGCATTACTGCGTGGTGTTTGTAACTGTTGGTAACATGGGCTGGAAGTAAGATATGTTTTTGGTGCTCTTATCAATATTCTTCTTTTAACGTCCTCCATCTTCAGCTTGTCACTTTTAAAGCATGTATAAACAAGAAAACGACACATTGGGGAATACAATCAGCTGCAAAACTACTAAATTGAGGTTTATTGAATGTAGGTTTTTCTTCACCTGTGAAGCCTTTGAACTTTGGGTAACAAACATTAAAACTTTCCCATTTTCTAAAAGGTCCATCCATCCTTCCTCTTTCTTGCAGTTTGTGGTTTTTGCAGGCTCTGTTTTAAAGGTCTTCCCACTGACTTGTCTTAATTAAATAGTCAAGAATTTTCAGTAGAACATTAATGTTACTTTAAGTAGGATTGAGAAGTCTAGAAATTTGATTCTGGGGAAGTTTGATGTAAAAAAAACTGTTATGTTGGATTATTACACCTCTTTCACTGTGATGTAGGTGAAAAAATACAGTTTTCACTTGTAAGCTAGAAATTCTTGCTGGTCAGGTTTTCACAGCTGCATTGTTTCAGAGGGATAGTTTACACATTCACTAATGGGGCTCTGTTTACGGGTCGTCACCATAAATCTACATCTGTCTTCAGATGATCATCTTTGATGAAAAAGATACGTTTTTAGACAACTTTCCTTCAGTAACAGATAATACCAGGACAGCGTCAACACATTTCAACTTACAGCTTTACCATATTCTTTTTTTGATACACGTTGTAAAGATGTCTTTAAAATATAAATAATTACATTTATTTTATTGCTGTGGAGTGTTCTACCTCGTTATTTGCAATATATCTGTTTGCACCCCTAACAATTAATTTAGAGCAATTGAATTGTAAGTGAAGCACAATTAGTGTTAATAAAGGACAGTTTCTCCTTGAAAGTCTTCAAAATGGGAAAGACAAGACACCGCTCCCATCTAGGAGGATGTTTCGATCTTTATAATTTATAAAATGGTTTAAATGGGGCTCCTACACAGAGCTATGTGGTATGGACAGGAAAACATTATCTCAATAAATATGTCTGTATTGAACCAAGACATGGTTTCTATTTAAAAATGTAGTTTTTGAAATCTGCTGCATTTCAAGACTAACTTACGGGAAACAATAACTGAGATTTTCTTTTTTAACAGAATTAAAGACAGAATTTCTTTAAGAACTGCAGGATTTCTTAATGATTAAAGATTAATTTTGCATATTGTTGTAATCTCTGATTAAATTTGTTGCAATAAGTAATCTATAATTTAGGCTCAATAATTTCCATTCCGATGATATTTTTTGAAGGGCAATTTTATAAAACTTGCCTTTATAAATTTCTCTGTAAATTATTGGAATTTTTTTATTTCCAGTGATTCTGAAAATGTGTAGAAAACCTGTTTATATTCCATATGAGGTCTGAATAAGTATAGAAAGAAAAAATAAGGTATTGGGAAAATCTTTGTTTGATCCTCTCAGATATTTCTGAGCGGTTATTGGCAAAAAAAACAATATTTTTATTTTCTTTTTGGTGGTTTATTTTTTCCCAACACAGCGCATGCGGCTATGGGTCTGTGCAAGTGTCCGAAGAGGAAGGTGACCAACCTGTTCTGCTTCGAGCATCGTGTGAACGTGTGTGAACATTGCCTTGTTTCCAACCACAACAAGGTAAATGTTGGGGGGTGGAGAGCGTCTCGTCTCTGTCTTATGTTTGTTCATCTGTCATTTGCATTGACATCCTCTGCTTCCGTCTGCTGCTCCGCAGTGCATTGTCCAGTCTTATCTGCAGTGGCTTCAGGACAGCGATTACAACCCGAACTGTGCTCTGTGCAATAATCCGCTGGCCACACGCGACACAGTCAGACTGATCTGCTATGGTGAGATGAGCTCTTTTTGTGCCGTTGGATCTTTATAAACCTAAAACAGCCGAAGTGGGTGAGTTTGGCGAGAAGAAAATACCAACCCCGGGTGTCTTTTTGTCGACCCGTAGATGTTTTCCACTGGGCGTGTCTGAATAATTTGGCGTCTCGGCTGCCGCTCCACACGGCCCCAGCGGGGTACCAGTGCCCCTCCTGCCAGGGCCCAGTGTTCCCACCCTCTAATCTGGCCAGCCCAGTGGCTGATGTGCTGAGAGAGCAGCTCTCATCTGTCAACTGGGCTCGGGCTGGTTTAGGGTTGCCATTGGTAACGACCTGTTGATGTTTCTTTCCTTCTTGTTTTGTCTTGCGTTTTTTTTTCTTTCTTATCTTCTTTGTAGTGTCCTTTCTTTTCTGTCTTGTTTTTCATTCTTCTTTGTTGTTTTTTTGTCTTCATGGTTCTCATTTTTTTGTTTTTCCTTTCTCAGTTTCTTTCTTTCTCTTTCTTCCTTTCTTTTGCATTCTCTCTCTCTCTCTCTTCTTTCTTTCTTTCTTTCTTCCTCTCTCTCTTTTCTTTCTTTTTGTCTTTATTTCTTTCTTTCTTCTTCTCTCTCTCTTTTCTTTCTTTTTGTCTTTCTTTCTTTCTTTCCTTCTTTCTTTCTTCTCTCTCTCTTTTCTTTCTTTTTGTATTTATTTTTTTCTTTCTTTCTTCTTCTCTCTCTCTTTTCTTTCTTTTTGTATTTCTTTCTTTCTTTCTTTCTTCCTCTCTCTCTCTTTTCTTTCTTTTTGTCTTTCTTTCTACCTTTGCATTCATGTGTGATGATGATCAAATCCTGTCCCCTGCAGATTGAAGAGCCCGTTGGGGTTCTTGAAGAAACACCAGCTGATGTTTCTGACTACTCGGACTGGTCAACCTTCGATGGTGAGTCAATTGTTCAGACACACAGAGCGTCAGAAAACCATTCCTTCCCCGTGAATTTCATCACATAGTTGTTGCAATGAGGCTTCAAAAAATCTTTAGAGTTTTCCTCCCATCAGCGTAAAATACTGTAAACATTCAGCCAGCACTGTGATGGAATGACTTAGGGATGGCCCAGTCAAAGACCAGACCTAACTCTATTTAAGAATCTTCAGGAGTTGGAAATTTATGTTCACAGATGCTCTCTATCCTTATGTAGTGTCCAGATGTTTGAAACTGACAGATAAATAACCCAAAAGACTTTATAGTGTGATAGTAACAGGTCGAGCTGCTATAGACTCAGAGGAGCTCAATGGAAATTCACTGTATTCTTCTCCAATTTAAGATTTTCTTTTATTGTGTATCACACCTTACTTTGTGTTGGTTTGTTTCATAAAATGAAAAAAACAACAAAAAAAACTTTTATTTTGTAGTTGTAATCTGACAAAATTGTAATACTTTCACAAAGTTCTGCTTTTGTGATTTATTAGTCAAATTGTATTTTTGTTTCTCACAGGACAAGATAAAAGTGGCGTTTATTCCAGTCACTCCTATAACACTAGCCTCGGCCCGCCTGCTGCCTCACCTCCGACACCAGAAAATGTTGGCGGACTTCATAAAAATGGGGATCCAAATATGCCAGAGCATTCTGTGGTCAACTTTCCTGCTGCTTCCACCACTGACACTATCACAATACACACAGGTAGGTCCCCAGAAAGCCTTTTGGTTCCAGCTTCTGTGACTCACTAACATGTGCGTGTTGTCCTTCTTCAGCGTCATCGCCAAGAAAGGTCTACGACACACGGGACGTTCACAGCTCTGTCACGCAGATCGACTTTGACGACGACAAGTACCGGCGGCGACCGGCGCTCAGCTGGTTCGCACGAATTCTAAAGTCAGTCCCTTCAAACTCCGCTGTGGCGCTGAGAGGCTAGAGAAAACAACAAATGAGAATTTTGTTTGCTCCGGTTTTGTCTTATTTCATGCATTCTTTCCAGAAACCGTACCGGGGGAAAGAAGACAGCTCTGTCCTGGAAGCAGCGTGTCTTTGTGCTCCTTTTGGTGGGAGTTCTGGGATTCTTCACGCTGATCATCATCATGGCGAAACTCGGACGCGCCTCGGCCGGCTCAGACCCAAACCTAGATCCTCTTCTTAACCCCAACATCCGGGTGGGGAAAAACTGAGGAGCAGCAGCGATTTGTTGTTTGGTCTGAAAAGAAACTGATGCACAGACTGCCCACCAGAGGGAGCTCTCTACCTAACTCCTAAGAGGACGTCCCTCAGACTGTAAAGAAGCAGTTCTCGCACTGTTCGGCCGGTTCTGTTGATCCACATGAGACACACAACCTATAAAGGCGACCCCGGGGCTCGGCGCAGTTACACAATTTATCCAAATGTTGTTGTTTTTGGTGACGAGGGGCAATACTTTATTCAGCTAACATTTCCCTGTGATCTTTGTAAGTTCATTTCTGTTTAGATTTCATTTGGAAGCATTGCTGATGTTGAAGAAGCTTCAACTGTCTGCATTACGAACCGATTGACTCTGTTGCCATGGGTCCTGGAGTCAAACCTACCCGACACATCCTACGTTCCTACGACTGTAATAATCTGCATTTCCTCTGCAAATTGAGTGTTTTGCTTTTAGATTTGCCATTCACACACTGTATGTATATTTCTGGTTGTTTTTTTTTTTTTTGAGTGTCCATTAAATTGGAATCCCCCAAAAATGACACGTTTTACCGCTGAATGTTTTGACTTTCTTCTGGCTCCCCTTTTAGAAGTCCATTCCCTTCATCCATCACCTTCGTTACGCGCTGGTGTGGAAATATGTCGGGCACATTGTCGTGACTACAGATTATGCAAAGTTCTTGCCTGTAAGCAGCATATTGACGCTAACACTGGAGGGGAAGCGCGGAAGTCGATAAGGTTCCACATAATGGTCATTCTGTTCTGCTCTTCTATTAATGCTGCGGCCAAAATTACATTTAGAGATGATCATGTTTTGTTTTTTTTCCATTAAAGCTGCAGGGATTGCAGCAGGACGGAACATGTTTAAAGATTGTTTTAACTATTTATCTATTTTGCTGCTTTCTGTGGTAAGCTGGAGGAAACAATGACTTATTATGAAATATTCTGCCTTTCAAAAGCTTTAATGTGTTGTTACAAACGCACACCGTAATATATGATAGAGTAACAGACATTAGTCAGTAGCTTAGAGAACTACTTTTTTGCTTCTTCACAGCTGCAGCTTCTCTCATAATTTCAAAATACACTGATGTTGGTTTTTTCGACGTGTCTAAATGTGATTTTTAAAGGTTAAATGGATTTCGCAAACATTTGGCAGCTGCATTAAATCGGGAGAATTGTGGCGTTATACCACTTGATTGTTCTTCATTTCCCTTGATTAAGTAAAAAAAATGTATAAAAGTGGACAGATACTAAAATTTTAGATTTTTGTCATCAAAAATTAGACTATAAAGAAAACTTACAGAAATGATGTGCCATTTATTCTGTATAATTTACCTGCAAACCAAAAGATATGACTTGGTTGCTAAACGTAAAACAAAACAAAAACAAAGTTTTAATTGCACAATGTGCTTCTTTATGGCTTTTAACAGAGAAATCTTCCCATCTCTCTTTAAATTTTGTAGAAAATGCTCAGACTTGTCCTCAGATACTGAAATCAAAAATATCACTTAGAGAAATTTAGATCGACTGTAGACTGTATTTTACATTTAAAAGTGATACATAAAAACTGGATGTAGTTACAAATAATTTCTGACCTTTTATTTACAAATCTTTTCATGTATGTCAGGAAATTTAGCAACACCAAGTTTTAATTTATTTAATGGGGTAATTCCCTGTTTTAATCATTAATAAAGTGTATTATTTACGTTTCTTGAACAAACCCAGTTGCAATGGTTCCACATTTATATCTGCTACTTCTTGCATCTCACCTCTGCCACCATAATAATTGATGTGCAGATGTTGGAGTTCATAAAAGCCTTCCAGCACACACTGCGTTTGCACATGACTGTTATCTGACTCTCCCAACTTTCCATCGTGTTGGTGACGCATTGACTGTTAGAAGATTTGAGTCACAACTGCAGAGAAAGCTACTGGCTATTTCATACATACAGCGCCTTGAAAAAGTATCCACACCCCCAGAATTTATTTTACGCATTTTGTCAGTTTCGTTGGGTTCTTAAAGCAGGATATATTATGAAAGGAAAATATTCATGATTTTAGACGTAAACATCACCTTGAACGTACCGACCTCAGCGTGAGACATGGTGGTGGCAGCACCATGCTGTGGGTATGCTTGTCTTCAGCAGATACAGGGAAGACGGACTGACCTAAAGTCAAGAAAATTTGTTTAAAAAAGCCCAAAAAAACTGGAGAAGACGCCACAGGTTCATCTTCCAGCAGAACAGTGATTGTAAACAAACACAGAGGGCACCAATAAAATGTTTAGACGTTAGATCAAATTAAAAAGACATTGATGCCCAGGTGTAGCTTCACATAGTGTGCAAAGGTCTAAGCAGAATGAATAGTTTTGTAAAACACTATATAAATTGGATTGAAACGAAGGTCTTTACTCGATGATAGCATTCTGCTATCATCAGAATGCTATCTGATGATAGCATTCTGCTATCATCAGAATGCTTTTTTATTTTTGTTTACGTCTATATGAACTGAAAAAAGAAAATATTATACCGATAACAAGTAACTGAATCAAGTTCATTGATTAAGTTTGTTAACTTTGACAATTTATTTAGGGTGGTTCAAATGTCCTCTTTTTTTCATTCTGATTATATCTACATGTATGTATAGATAGACATAAGCAGCAAACTGGATTTATTAAAACGTGTGGAGTGCAGAGCCCTTTGTCACATTATTGGAGTTCAATGCGGCTCTCGGTAACTGAGTTATTAGCTTGTCCATTGCATTGACATAATAGGGACATACTTATCAATAATGTGACTTTGTTGTCAACATGCCGCTGTTATTTGCACGTCTGTTACAGAGCGTATTTATTGATATGAAAGCTTCAGCGCAAATTAATGCAAGGATGAGCTTAGACTTAAATATATTTTAATACATTTCAAGTATAGAAAATAGAAACTTCTAGAGTAACAGTGTGAAAATAGCATGTTGAATAATTTTTTGCAAAATGAATAAATACAAAACTCTTTAAAAGGAACCACATTTAAATTGCATTTTTTCTTTCTGCTTTCTTACTTTCCATCTCTTCATGTTTGCTGTAATAAACAGTATTTGATACATTTGGTGTTATATAATTAGGTCAGACTCCATAACGAAACAGTTTAACGTTTTTTATTTCTTCTGTTGCTGTTCGGCGTGAACAAAGGTACACACAAGAGGATGCAGACAGAGAATTAGGATAACGTGACAAGTTCAAGAACTTATCAGAAAATTGTCTATAAAACACACTTTGCTTCCTCAAAGAATTTTTTTATATATATATTTCTCAGCAGAACTGTTTTAATTCAGCCACACTGGAAGATTTAGTAGAAGGAAGCACTGTTTAAGGTCAATATTCAGCGTCTTAAATTGATTTAAGTTCAGACTTTGAATAGACCAATTCAAAACCTTCATTTTAATTTTTTTTTTACCACTGAAAGGTGATCTTTATGGCATGCTTCAGTTTATTGTTCTGCTGCACTTGATCTTTTGATTAGCAACCGCTAGCGGCTAGCCGAAGCCCCTTCTTGAGGATTTTACCCGTCAACTCCTGGTTCCATCAATCCATCTTGATGTTCACGTCAGGAAATAACAAAGCAGATCCAGATCATCACACTACCCCCACCATGTTTGACTATCAGTATATTTTTTGTGCTTTATTTATTTTTTTATTCTGTGTTAAGATGTTCATTTTCCCAAAACTTCTCTTCTGTCGTGTAAGTTGACAGAATATTTTTCCCAATATCTTGGTGATCATCACAATGTTTTTTTTGATCATGGCCTTAAAACTTGATCGTCGATTCCGCTGCTCGCCGAAAGCTTTCCTTTTGGTGAATCATGAATGTTGACCTTGAATGAGGAAAATGAGACCCACAGAACAGAATAATAGATGTCAACAGCATTTCTAACCTGATCTTTATTTTCTTGTTGGATTGGTGCATCTAAGAACAGATTTTAGTTTATTTTATTTTTGCCTCCTTTATCTTGGCAGGCTTTAAGATTTCTTGATTCTACAAGTGTGGCTGGTGAAATTAAACCCAGCTTTCCAAAAGCAAAAAAAATAAAAATAAATAAATAAAAATATTGCTTGCAGATATTTTTCTCATTTAGTAGAATGATGTAATAATAACTGAACTGCAAACCAGCTGGTGGAAAGCGGCTTTTCCCATTGGTCCTGTTTCATTTGTGCTGTTTTTTCCCTTGCAAACTAAAACAGCTTTTTTCTTAAAATTTGATTGATGACGTGTCAATAAACCTAGACACGTCTGCACGAACAGCTTGTGATTGCAGTTCATACTGCTGCTAATATGTTGGACTCATTCATACTTTCTTTTATTGACTCCTGCAAAAGCAATCACACTCTGTACTGTTTTTGGTGGAGTCCAGCTCAGATCAAAGCCCTTCTGTCATTGGTTGGCACAGAGATATATATTGATATGTCAGGATGGGCTCTGGTTGTCAGTTATAGGGGCCTTCAGAGGGAACGTCAGTGTGAACACCCCTGCTCTCAACGTAAGTACAGATACTGATTTAACAATAAACGGCTGAAATAGCTTTATCTTTTAGACAGTTTATCAATTTAAACATTTATTGGAGTATTCTGTTGTATTTAAAAAAAACATATAACATTTAATCATTGGTTTCCTACAAAGTAAGCCTCATTTATGCTTCGTGTCATGCTGTTTCATTGTATGACAAGCTTACATTAACCATTAGATTCATATAGAATATTAAACGCACAATTTTATTATAATTTTTTGAGTTCAATGAGAACAACGTGAAAACAGTATAATTTAAACCGATTGAATGTTTTATTACAGTCCTCTGCTGCTGACTCGCTGGATGAAGAAATTGTTTTAGACCGATGCAGGACGTCTGAAATGTGTGACCATCAAGAAAAAGAACTGAAGCACAGAAAGGCCAAACAAGTGATGCAGCATCGCCACCACCAAGTCCATCACCACCGTCACCACCGTCACCAGGCCGATGACAACACCAGTCAAGAGTAAGTCTGTGGCTTTTTCTCCTTGCAAACGTCTTCATTTCACTTGAACTTTTTTGGTAAAACTTTATTTGAAACGGTGTTCATAAGACTGACATAACCCTGTCATGACACCTTTTATGAGCATGAATGAGTCCCTACGAAGGTTTATGATTGTTGTCATGAAGTGTCATTCGATAAATAATTTCACTTTTAATGCAAAGTTGCAGTAAAAGTAGAATTAAAGGTCTATTAAATGTACAAACTTTACATTATTTGGTAAATAATGACACTTAACTGCAAAGTTTTCATTGACTTTTAAAGCAACTTTGCATTAAAAGTGGCATTTTTCACCAAATGAGACTTCATGACAAGAGTCATAAAAATGTCACATTACAGTAGACAGTCAGTCTTATGAATACCCCGTCAATTAATGTGTTACCAACTTTTTCATGTTTATCCCATTACAACTATAAACTTTATTGCATTTTATGTCACATTTAGAAATATAGTAATAGTGCATAGTGGGAAAAAAAGAAGAAAAAGTAGATACATATACTAAAAAAATGCATCTGGATTGAGCCCCTTTTAAACTGACACACATCAAGACAGTCCAAGAAAAATAAAACGTCCTTCAGAAGTCACCTAACTTGCAAAAATAGTCCATCACTACATGCAGCTGTTCTCCTACAAGTTCATAAAGAACAAGGAATGCGGCAAAATGGTCAGAGATAATGTTGTGTAAATTTGAAAACAAGTTAGGCGTAAAAACAGTATGTCCAAAATGAAACACAGACATGGGAGCATCTCATGCTTCTTTTGAGGAAGAACAGGAAACCAGTCAGAATTGATGGTGGAAAGACAAATTTAACTGAGAACTGGTCAGAAAACCAGTGGTGTGAAAATGCTTTTCTTCACTAGGCACAGGGAAACTGGTCAGGGTAGATGGTGGATAGAGCTAATTAAACAAAATTTGTTAGAGACTGCGAAGGAAATAAGAGTGGCACACATTCTGGTAGGTAGAGGATCCATACAGGCAGTTCTGTATTAGAGAGATTTGGGCTTCATTATTCAAATTAGAACGTAAATTAAATTGAGACTTTGTGGCAAGACTTAAAAACCGCTGTTAATACGTTCCATTGATTCTAACGGAGTTTGTGGGATTTTGCAAAGAGGAATTGACAAAATTCCCAACTCCAATTGTGCAACCACAAGAGATTTCCTACTGCAGCTCCAGTGAAAGGTGGTTTTATGAAGTATGGACTTAGAAACACATTTTTTTCTGACTACCAGCAGTAAAATCTTTCAAAAATCATGTTTTTCTTCCACTTTGCAATTATGTGCTATTACATAAAATATGCACCCCCCCAAAAAAAAAACATCTTCTTGTTAGTGCGATTCAAATATTCTAACTGTAAAATGTTTTTCTCAACAGCACTCTGTCAACAGTGGACAGCGGCGATCATCCTCCACACAACCAAAATCATGAGAAGAGTCACTCTTCACACCCTCACCAGGGTCATCATAGGCAAAAGCATCGCAATTTTTCTGTTTCAGAAACCTCCTTTGACTCCTCATCTTCAACGTCTTCCTCATCCACATCCTCCTCCTCTTCGTCCTCTTCCTCGTCATCTTCTTCCTCCTGCTCCTCTTCTTCATCTTCCTTCACATCCACAACATCTTCTTCCACCTCCAGCCTCTCTTCTGGAAACACCAGTGACTCCTCAGATACATACACTCACAGGAAGCCTCAATATTCCCAGTCTTTTACTGACATTTCTACTAAACATCGGTACTTTGAAGAAGAAGAAGACGACACCGCCCCTTTAATAATCAAAAGAGGGAGTTTGCACAGGACATCTGCCAAGCAGAAGAAAGGCATTGAGAAGTCCTCCTGCAGCTGTCCTACTAGAGCAGGATTCAAAAACCAGCAAACGAGCACAAGAGGCTTAGGAAATGATGGAAGCTTCCGCAAGGCAAAGTCAATGGAGGATCTCAAAGCACCAAAAGATAAAAGCGGAAATGGAAGCAATGAAGGAGATGAGCTGGAGAGGAGCAAAACTGAAGCTAAGAAGAATTTAATGAAAGAAAAAATGAAGTTTTCTGCCTTCCTTAATGAGATTACAAGGCAAGTGCTCAGCCCAATGAGACTTACCTCTCTTGGGGTCACAGATGCTCAAAGACCCTGGAGCCCAGGACAGGTCTCCACCAGATCCAGGGAGACAGACAGCAGCATTGACAAACCCAGGCAGCAGAGAAGTCGAGCTGCAAGTGCAGACTCAATTAGCTCAAGCAGACATTCCCGTGCTAGCAAACATTCAAAGTCTTCTCATGTGTCTCACTCTAAAGCTTCCCAGCATCCCGGTGTCTGCTCTGACAATCCGTCTCGTCATCCAAAGCACAGACGTAGAAGTTGTCGCTCAAGATCTCCAGCTCATGAGCATCAATCTCGACTGCCTTCTCGAAAGCACAACCACCGCCATCGTTCCAATCACTATAAAAATGAAGATTGCACCAGCCCAGGTCATCACCAACACGAAAGATATGGCCATACCGCTAGTCATCACCACCATCATAGACGCCACAATGCACCACATTGCCATCAGTCTGGAGACAAGAATCGTGAAGATAATTGTAGCCCAACTCGTCATCATGAAGACCATCATAGTTCAAGTCATCACTATCAGAGCCATTCAAGCTCACGGCCTACCACTCCACATCTGCATAGACGTCACAGTTCAGCCAGTGACATTAGAGATCCTCACAGTCCAACACGTCCACATCACCATAGTGAGCACAAGGATAGGCCTCATCCATGTGAAACCCACCAGCACCACCATGTGGACTTCCACAAAGAATCTAATCCGCATCATCATGGAGACCACCACAAACCAGGCCACCATCACCATGGAAGGCACCGAAGTCCTGGCCATCATCATCATCATCATCATGACGACCACCATAGCCCAGGTCACCATCACCATGACGACCACCACAGTCCTGGTCATCATCACCATGGGGACCACCATAGCCCAGGTCACCATCACCATGACGACCACCATAGCCCAGGCCACCATCACCACGGAGACCACCATAGACCAGGCCACCATCACCATGGAGACCACCATAGGCCAGGTCACCATCATCATGACGACCATCATCATGGCGACCATCATCATGGCGACCATCATCATGGTGACCACCACAGTCCTGGCCATCATCATCATGGGGATCACCAAGGCTCAAGTCACCATCACCATGACGACCACCACAGTCCAGGTCACCATCATCATGGCGACCATCATCATGGTGACCACCACAGTCCAGCCCATCGTGACCATGATGTTGACCACCACAATCTGGATCATCATCATCATGGTAGCCACCACAGTTCAGGCCATCATCATGATGTTGACCATCGTAATCACCATCAGGGCGACCACCACAGTTCAAGCCACCATCAAGATGCAGAACGCCACCACCATGGAGATGACCACAGTCCAGGCCACCAACATGACACAGAACACCACAGTCCAGCCCACCATGATCATGACGTTGACCACCACAGTACAAGCCATCATCATCATGGTGACCACCACAGTCCAGGTCATCATCACGATGTTGACCACCACAATCTGGGCCACCATTATCATGGTGGCCATCACAGTCCAAGCCATCATCATCACAAAGACCACCACAGTCCAAGCCATCATCATCATCGTCATCATCATCAAGACCACGACAGTCCAGGCCATCATCATGACACAAGGGTCCACAATTCAGACCACCATCACCATGGAGCTCACCATAGTCCAGACCATCATCATCACCCCAAACACCCTAACAGTTCTGACCACAGCCACACTCCAGGTCATCATTCTCATCATAAAATCCACCACAGTCCAGACCACCATCACAGGGACTACCCAGGTTCAGGCCAGCATCATGCAGACCACCATGGTCCAGTCCACCATGAACATGGAGACCGTCACAGTCCAAGCCATCATCACAGTGAAGGCCAGAATCATGGGGACCAGCATAATCTAGACCATTGTAATTATAGAGACCAGAACATTCCCGGTCATAATCATGAACATGACCACAGTCCAGGCCATCATCATAAAGAACACCAAAATCCAGACCTTTCAGATTTTGGGGATCAGGACTCTCCACGCTGTCTTCAGGGAGATGACCACAATCAAAGCTGTCATCATGGAGACCACCACAGCCCAAGCCATGCTTATGAAGTTCAGCACAGTGTAGGTGACCATCACGAAGATCTCCACCATTCTCACCATCATTATGAAAGTCACAGCAGTCCGGGTCATGAACAGACAGTCCACCATAGTCCAGGCAGTGTTCATTATAGTCCAGCTGGCCATCATGAAGATGACTGTCACAGTCCAAGTCCTCACCATGAAAGCTACCATACCCCAGGTCATCAACATAGAGGCCATCACAATCCAGATGTTCAGCGTCATCATGTTGAATACCACCAAACAAATCTTCTTCATGACCATCACCTTGAATCTCCAGGAGATCTTAGTCTTCACAGTGATCTCCAACACAACACTCTTGATGATCATCATACAAATTTAAAGGAGGATTCTGCTATTAGTTCACCTTCGCACAGAAAGCCAGAATGTCTGATCAGCACTGATTCCCCCAGCAACACAAATAACCCCTCTGGTTTGGATGAAGAACGGACAAGTTTCTCCAGGCCATTCCATGTTAAAGTATGACCTCACTTTTCAAGTCTAAACTTTTGCATGCAATCTATCTTTAGAGTTTGTTCACCTTTAGGGAAGAGTCACAAAAAAAAAATCAGAAGTTATGTAACAATATTTTTCTCATTTGTTTTTCTATTGATTCTGGCAACTGCGTGCACATCATGGTGGAAAGTAGATTATTTGCGGCAGAACAATAGATTAGACACTATGCACAAAAGTAAAGGAAATCAATTCACCATCCTAACTATTGGTTTTTATTCTTGTGTCCTTTTTAAACCTCTTTAGTGTTTAGACTTTAGCAGTACAGCAGTTCTTCCATTTGAATGTTTTTCAACTCACCAGCATATTTCTTTCTTTTCCCATGCAGGAAAAAACGCATGACTTTGGCAGGACCATGTGAGTTTAATGTTTTCCTTTAGGGCAGTCCTCAAGGGACAGAGTCAGCAACTTTTAGACATGTTTCATATCTTAGAGACTTGAATTAAAAGGCGAAACTTCCTCACTAGCATGCAGTTTAGCTATACTGATTTATGCTAATATTGGAGCCAGGTGTGATGAAGCAGAGACGCCTCTGAAAGTTTCAGGACTGTGGCCGTTGAGGACTGGACTTTGAGAACACCGCTTCAGGGTTTTGCTAACTGAAAAAGTTATGGATGAAGTGATGGTAGTAACTTATTTAAGGCATTTTTTATTTTTTTTTAAATTTTTGTTTGTCTAGGATACTGCAGAACCAAAATGAAGGTCTGCAGCAGAGTTTACTGAAGACAGCAGTGAGGATGGAGTGTTTGGGAGAAGAGTTTATCAGTAGCCAGAAGATCCTGGAAACTGAACTTCAGAGGACTCGCATGGAGCTCAGCAACCTCATGGGCAGGTTTAACAGGTGCCTCCAGAATGAAAAACATGTTCGGATGAACATGTTCGGATGACAGAAAGCCAAAAGTAATAAAGCAGATGGGCTATAGAATGTGTTTCCTGTTGTTTCCTGTTCCGTTTCCCACAAAACAAGAAACAAGGTTGCAATTTACAAAAGCACATAATAAATTGTACAATAAAATAGAGTCATGGACTGACAGCAAGTCCATATCAATCTGATGTGATTTTCCCAAAATGGATTCAAATCTTCAATGAATAATTTGACACATTTTTTAAACTGACTGATACAAATAATTACCACAGTTGTGAAACACTGACTGAAAAAGTGTGACTGAGAAAGTGGTGATTGTATTATGTTGCACATATATGTTGTTTACTCTGGTTCTGTCTCTTTTCTTAAGGCTCCGTGATGATTGTTCCTCCACACAACAGACCAATAGCCTCCTAGAGTTAAAGCTTCACTCAGTGGTGAGGCCTCAATTCTCCCTCAGTTAACATATTCCTAAATGTTTTGGGGCGCTGCTCTGTGAGCCAGTTCTCTTACTTACTGAAGATCTGTGTTTCCCCTGTCTTCTCCACCAGCTTCAGAATATGGAAGGAGAGCGAGAAAGGTTGAATCTGCGCATCTCAGAATTGACCGAGCAACTGAGTGACGCTCAGTATGCCAGCACCATGGAGGAAATAAAAGTGAGAGGCTGACCTTTATCATCACGTTCAAGGCAGACATGCATTTATTAATACTGGGCACAATACAATAAAATATTAATGACTTGTGATGGATTTCAGTCTTTGATTTTTGTTTAACTTTATAACAGTACCTTAACAATCCATCAGCAGATGAATGTTAGCCATGTGGTGTAATTACTTATCAAGGCACTATAGCTGATTAAGTTTCAACCACCTCTGTTCACTTTAGGCAACATCTGGGCTGCATGAAGTCAACCCACACTCTCATTCTGGTGATGCGCTCCCGCAGATGATTCCTCCAATCGCTCCCCCACCGGCTCAGTTCATGGACAGCCATAACTATGGGAAAGAAGCAACGTCTGCGCCGGAGCAGGCTTTGGGGTCGGTTCCAGAGGAGGAAGAGTCTGACTGGTCCGAGGTGGGAGAGGAGACCCCACGCCTCTTACTGACGGGATCAAACAGAGGCCAGACATGGAGGCCAGAAGAAGCAGACATGGACAAAGACAGCGAGTCGGGAAGCGAGGACCTGGTGAGAAGACACTCTCTGCGCCCCCTGCAGATACCCCATCTTCAGTTCACCATTCACAACGAGTTTGTCCCGTTGTCCCACGCCAACACTTTACCCTCCGGCTTCAAGAACCTGTCTGAGGGAATGCGTAAGGAGGAGAGTTACAGGATCACCACAAGTCCAAATGTAAAGTCTACCATCCTCATCCGGTCTGCGAGCCTGGAAGAAATACCTCTGATACGCCACGACGAAGAGCTCAGAGGAACGGAGGCCGCGCGGAGCCTTCACCATTCAGCTGACGAAGCCGTCGAGGATCTCGATAATCAGATCATTCATCACTGGCGAATGAGCAGTGATAGGGACACAGTCATCAGGAGGCTGATAAAGAGCAGAGCGCCCGAGGAAGGCGGCATCCTGGCCAGCCTGCAGTCAGCGGAACAGCTGCTCAATCACTTCATATGCGACCCGACGTCGGGTGAAGGAAGAGAGCCGGCCGGGTTTGAGATGCACGGTTGGACCGCGGGGATTCCAGAGGAGGTTCTGAAAGGGGAGCGAACTCAGCTCTGACTGTACACTGTGGGGGAACAAACAAAACAAGACACACAAAAAGCTGCTGAATACAGTAACTGTATTTATGCTTTATAATAGACTGTAAATCAGTAGGTATGTTGCCAGCTAACTTCTAATTGTATCTAATTTTCTTTTCATTGTGTTTCATGACAAGCAGTCCACTCCCTTCGTCACTAACACGTTGCTGAACTGATCACAATACTAGCTATGAAGCAGATTTTTTTTCCTCTTCTTTCATAAACATACCTTTGATATTTATTACAGTGTAGCATCATAGCTCTTTACCCAGCATCTAGAGTTGTCAATTAAATAATGTATGATCAACGGATTTGAAATGGCTAACAGTTGCAGGAGTGAGATAAAACGGTGTAAACACTGAACCACTGCGGTGCAGCTTGGATTCAGCCACCGGCTAATTACTTGCAGAATATTTTGTCGAAAAATTAAAATGTTTCAGGACGGCTTTCTAAATTTTTGTTCTCTATGCTGTATGAAACCGTACACACCATCTTGTTTGCATGTACATATATGTATGTTTGTATGTATTCATGGGATTTTGTCTTTATGTGACCTCATTATACCTTCTTGCACTGTAAACTGTGTTAATACTAGAATATCTTGTCAAAACACCCAATCACAGCACATAGGTACGACTATATTCCATCTAATAAAGCAAATAAGTTAGACTCAGTGTGTAATTTATGCATTTGCTTTATTTCTTTATGGTTATGGTTTGCAACAAAACGTTTCCAAAACATTTTCATTTCTGTATATTTACATTTAACATCAGAGTATTAGGTATTCTGTATCGGGGATGTTATGAGCCTCTTAATGCTGTGCTGAGAGTTATATTTGTCTCTCTTAACTCCTCATTAGGCATTAGAAGATAATCATTACTAATACTCTGCTACGTCACATTCCCCTGGTTATGGCAGCAGAAATATTTCATCTCTGCAAAACTTGTCAATTACTATTGTAATTTCTTGCCCCTCAAACTTCTGATGCTCCATAATAGTTGAAATTAATGAAAGGAAAAGAAAAATCATATACATCGGTCTGTGCAAAATTCTAAATGAATCAAAATATGTTACATGTCTGATTCGTTTCTAGTAGCCTCATATTTATGTAGATGTATAGAATAAAGATCTTGAAAATTCCGTCCCTAAGTATGAGTGTTTTCACAGATAATGACTTCAGTGCTAATATCTTCCTGTCAGATTCGATAAGGCTCGTCATTCTTGTCCCACTGTGTGAGTAACGTGTGCTGAGCAGACATTGGCCTGGATCCACAGACCAGTTTAATAGGATAGGTAGGCATTAGCAATTAGACGCTCCCACCATCCAGGTTTGCCAAATCCAGTGTGCCAAATCCACTGCGTGGCACACAGGAAGGCGTCCGGCGGTCAGCGGAGAACTGGACTTTTTCGCGACGTTTTGTTGGAGACCAATAAGGTGAACTTTGGGGCATTCACGTTTGTTTATTTGCGGTGACACCACTGGAGATGTCGAAATGAAAAAAAAAAAAAAACGTTTTTAATCTCCCAGAATCTGGAGCCAATTTTTCTAGATGTTTTTTTTTTTTTTGCATTTTTAGTTCAGCTCAGTTGTCATATTTCAGTTTTATTGAAATTCAGTGGTCATCTTCACCTTGAGACTTTTAACTCTAAACTCTTCTCTCGCCTCCCAGACAAAGCACATCATCGTCTCCCGTTGGCTCGTCGCTCTCCTTCCCCTTCTCCCCCGGTGAGACTCGGGTCCCCCCGAACCGCGCGCTGCAACCATGGTGGTCATGAAGATGAAGTTCCCCTTTCAAAAAAGGGTGAAGCTGGCACAGGGACTGTGGCTCCTGTCCTGGTGTGCCACGTTTGCAGGGGCCACGACCTTTACCCTGGGGTGCCTCCTGAAAACGGAGCTGCGCAGGAGAGCGGAGGTATTTGTTGTGATGTCCTGTTTAGCATTATTACTAGCTGACATCATAACATTTCATTTGGAACTATTGTGTAGCTTATGTTTGTCCTTATTATAAATTTAATCTATGAAATCACAGCTGTAACTTCTGGTGTGATGCAAAAATAACGGGTGTTTTGGACATTTGTATATTTTTTTTTTTTAAGTTTTAGGATACTATTGCTGATGCAAAGTATCAAAACATTTGTCAATCATCATGGACTTTGGGAATCTATTTGTAATTTGACAAATTGGTCAATAAAACACAAAACATTGTTTATTCTGAGTCAGCAAAGGTTTACAGACCTTTGACCCACTTTGGATCCTGACTAATCATTTCTTAAATCAGCCTCTCGGTCAAACTAATCCCTTATTCTGAAGGCTGTCAACTTTTCCTTAAATAATTTAGTGTGCTTTTATTTGATCTTATTTAAACATATTTTTCTTGAATCAACTAGAACATGTACTTTTACATAGTATTTTGCACTGAAGTGCAAAGTAAAGAAAGAAAATGTTGACTATGTTACAAGTACTACTGGTCATTTTGGGATGTTCTGGTAAGTTTTATGGTCTGATGGGTCAAAGACTGAGCTGTTTGGCCACGATGGCATGAAGAAGGTTTGGACAAATCAAGGTGAGACTGTAAAACATTGGACTTCACAGTGAAGTCAGGTTTGGTGGTGGTAGCATCATGCTGTTAATATAGTGGCTCAAAATCTTGTGTCTTAATCAGAATAAATAAAGTATCTTATCACAATAAGAAAGTACCTTTAGCATAAAGCAGGAAGATATAGTTTACAATTATTTTTATACAAATGTTCATTTTAAACAGTCATTATTCTTCCACTCATGTTTAACAACTACAGCAAGCATATTTAAATCAATGTTGTCCTCAAAGCTCACAAGGCTGAAAGCAAAAATAGATTTTTACTTAACATCTTCAAAAAATTTTCAGAAAACACAAAAGAAAGCTGTTGCAAGCAGAAACAAAGGAGTCTGAATATTCTTCTCTCATTTAACAGCAAAAATCCCTGTTGCTTTTTGTAGCACCACCCAGTGGTAAACTGATGTTTCTCTAGGAAAGCCCTTTCTGCACTGGTGCAGAGCACATCAGTACGTTTACGGTCACAATACAATAGTTATAATCTCACTTCAATGTTTTAAAAAAGCTTTAAAAAAAAAGAAAGGTTATGTGTACAGATAATTTAAAAAAAACAGTGAAGGCAGTTTGCAATGTTTCAAATGAATATGACTTCAGTAAATCAGAAATGAACTGCCTCAATAGAACAGTTCAGAGTTTGAAATTTCATCACATGGATCAGAGTAATTTGGGCATGAAAAGTTTGCGATTTGTGAGTGCTTCGATCATTGATGAGAAGGTCTGCCACTGAAAAGAAAAAAACTCATCGTTTTCTTGTCAGTATTATAGCAGGGCAAAGCAAGCCAAGGCAACTTCTTTCTATACAGCATCTTTCAACGAGAGATAACTCAAAGTACTTATATAAAAAGGTTAAGAACAACACGCATCAAGAAAAACACATTAAAATTAAACTGCTGTAAAAATAAAATAAAGTAAAAAAAAGAGAGACAACAAAGTTGCAGGCATTGGATTCGTATTGTAATGCAGCATCTCTTTGTGGATACATGGAACAAGATGTTCTGTCTATCTGTGCTACCCTTAAATCTAGCACTGATAGTCAGAACATCAGTTTTTAACACATAGTTTTTTTTTTTATTAATGAGCGCACATAAATCTATGATGTAATATTCACAGTCAAAGAATATTAACATATTGAATTCACGTTTTCTACATTTTGCATGTCCGACTTTTAGGTAATGGCTAACACGGATATTCATATCGTGCCCAACACCCTCATGATTGTTGGTCTGGCGTCTTTGGGCATCAACTACTTTGCCTCAAAGATCTGTCAGGACGCCTTGGACGCCGGCCGATTCCCTCGCTGGAAGAACTTCCTGAAGCCCTACTTCGCTGTCTCGTGCTTCTTCACCGTCCTCATGCTGCTGGCCATCATCATGAGCTGTGCCATGAAGGGCAGCTTGGAGTCTTCACTGAAAGCCGGCCTGAGGAACGGCATCCGCTTCTACAAGGACACAGACACCCCAGGCCGTTGCTTCCAGAAGCAGAACATCGACCGCTTGCAGATGGAGTTCCAGTGCTGCGGGAACAATGACTTCAGGGACTGGTTTGAGATCCAGTGGATCAGCAATCGCTACCTTGACTTCAGCTCCACGGAAGTGAAAAAGTAAGTAGATGCGACCAAAAGAGCTCCCCATGAAGACGTATCCATAGAGAACTCTTTCTGAGGCGGTCGTGTCTTACGTCTTTCCGTAGCCGCATCAAGAGCAACGTAGACGGACGCTACCTGGTGGATGGAGTCCCGTTCAGCTGCTGCAACCCCAGCTCTCCGCGACCATGCATCCAGTATCGCCTAACCAACAACTCAGCTCACTACAACTACGACTACCAAACCGAGGAGCTCAATATCTACCTTAGAGGCTGCAGAGAGGCCTTGGTCAACTACTACATGGGTTTGATGAACACCATTGGAGCTGGAGTGTTGTCCATCTTCCTCCTACAGGTAAACATGGAAAAATTTAAAGTTGACTCCTGCTAATTTCAAACTGGTGTCTAGTGTTTGTCTGATGCCAAAGGTCAATGATTTGCCACTGACCTTTGGCTTTCTGTTCGTTGGTAAATAAGAAACAATAAGTGCGTTATTGCAGCAGCTTGTGTTGATGTGCATATTGCCAGCCTCTCATTCCTTCCTCTGTTTCTTTCCCCGCCAAAGGGCTCCGTACTGGTGAGCTTGCGCTTCCTGCAGACCGCCATGGAAGCAGTGGCGGGGAAGGAGAACACGGAGATCGAGACCGAAGGGTACTTGCTGGAGAAAGGAGTGAAGGAGACCGTCATGGAGTACCTCGATCCTGTGCTCACATTCCTGCTGCTCAAAAATAAGGTGGAAGAAGGGACGGCCGGAGAGACGACCACTGCGCCCGCCTAAACCGCACACCCTCTATAGACATGTAAATAATTTTTACAGAGATCATTATTTATTTCAACATAAAAAAGGGCAATTCAAACAAAGAAATTTCTATGAATCTCACAAGATTGGAAAGTGTTTTTGTTTTTTTGTTTTTTTTTGTCGGTTGGACGATGCCGGATGTGGTTATTCAAAATGGTCTTTAAATTAAGGTCTACCCAGGGACCTTCAGTACAAATAAAAGAAGCGCAAAAGTCACAGTAAAAATAAAAAAAACCTCAAAGAATTTTCTAGGAACATCCATTGTCAAAATAAAGTACCATTTTTTAAAATTCCTTTCTATTTTTTCCTGTTGCGAGCTGTGCATGACTGGTAACCCGTCGTTGTTGTACTGTATTTGTTTGTTGCTTTTGAAAGTGATCTACCATTTGCATTCTTACGGCCAAAAGCAATAAAGCAGTATTTGATGAGGCAGTGTACACAAATGATTTTTGTGGACTTATGAAAAGAGAGATGTAAAGCTGACAGTAGAGAGACATGAGGCGCAATGCTCCGCTGCGTAACAGGACTATGACGTAATTTAACAGATGACTTATTAAAGTTTGAAGTTACTAAATGCCTTATGGCGTGGCGTCCCTTTTCCTTTTGTTTCTAACGTAACGTGCGAGTATCGCGATACATTTCTCTTCATGGCTGGTCCTCCAGCCTGCATCTCTGCCCTTGCATCACCTCTCTCACCAAGGAATAGGATTAAGAAGATCGATTAAGCGGTGTCAGTAATTCAGTTAAAGCCATCAAGTGTGTCCTCTGTCCTGACACCTTTGTTAAAGCTGCTAAACCCATTTGCAGCTGTAATCCCCAAGCTGCTGAACTCTGCATTTACCTGTGTCAGGTGGATGGAACAAGCAAAGGGAACTGTGCATGTATTTAAATGCTAAAAATGTAAACAATTCTGTGGCGTACAGTTAGACAAACATTTTAAGAGTCTGTTCTTTGAACATGGATCTTATTTTCTGAAGTTTGTTTTTCAGTCTGTGGGAATGTTTTGGCTGCAACACCTACTACTATGAGTAGTAAAATACAAATAATATCCCATCCATCCATTTTCTAACACCCTAGTAGAGTCGGCAGGGATGCCGGTGCCTACCTCCAGTTAGCTTTTCAGCCAAGAGACGGGGTACACAAATAATATGAATTAGTATTATTATTGACTGCTCAGTGGTGGGGTTGTTAACACCTTTGTCTTGCTTAAAGAAGGTCCTAGTTTTGAATCCAGTGCATGCATGCTCTCCCTGACATATGTGGGTTTGCTCAGAGTATGACACATACCGGGTCACTGTTTTCTCAGAATATAAAAAGTTACATCGATGTTGGGTTATTTAAATGGCGCATGTATGATCCTTTGTCCTGTGTTTCTCTGCTTTGTCCTGTGATGGACAAAGCAGGACAGTGCAACATTAAGCTGTCCAGGATGCCTCTTAGCCATTATCCTCTGCAAATTGCCTGTTTTTTTCTCAAACATGCAAAAACTGCTGTTGTTCAACCGGTTGTTTCTACAACAACAACAACAACAATAATATTAATAATAATAATAATAATAATAATAATAATAATAATAATAATAATAATAATAATAATAATAATAATAATAATAATAATAATAATACATTTTATTTATTTATTTTGTCTCTATTGTGTTTTCAGGGGTTTATTTTTCTCGTAATCTCTCTTTTGTGGAAGGATGAACAGATTTGCTTGGATTAAAAAAAAAATCTCCTTGATGGATTACAGTGACGATGACGTGCCCATTACGTAAGGTGACGACTGCGCCCACTTTAACTTTCAACTTGTTTTCGGGATTAAATCTTTTTGGCCTCGCTATAAACATATCGCTCATTTAGACAAAAGGGAAAGTTTAAACCCCCATAGAGGTAGATATTTGCCACCAGTCACTTCAGTAAGGTATTTGTATTGAAAAGTTTCCCCGTCCTGCTGAGGTTAAGAGCTTTTGGCATCAACCGCAACGCGCCACGACGAGGAACCGGTCAAAAGAATCGAATCGTTCAGCTACCGCACGCACCCTGCCCGGAAAGCTAATTTCGGGCGCTTGGCTAACCCTTCCTCGCCAGAGAAGCATTACAGGAACGAACTGTTTGTTGACTCATGTATTTAGCAGTTTGTGTTACATTGTCAGAATTCTGTCCCAGGAAAACGCAGCGAGTGAAGGTGAATTTACCATAATACAGGTAGGTGAGCGGAACATCTGTTTATTTCTACAGACTGAAGGGAAGAACACTGAAAGTTAGCTGACGAGCCACAGATAAGTGTTCAAATTGGCAAAGTAGCTCCTGAATAACTTAACATAACTTAACATAACATGCTAAAGTAAAAGCGGGACCCGTCGCTCCAGGATGGGGGTCTTTAAATAGCCATAGCCACTTGTTTTGTGTCTGAGCTAGCGTTAGCTAACGGTAATTTGATTTGGCGATGATGGATTTTTCCCTCGAGACCTTCATCCGTTAGGCTGTCATTCCTGTTGGACCGGGGCTGGGAATCAACTAACGTCCTGAAGGCTTTTAGACGGCTTCCCCTTTCTGTCTGTGAAGGCATTAGACGTTTAAGAAACTTGCCAAACACAAATTTGCTTGAGTTAAAAAAAAGAAAACAAAACCCAAAACAAACAGAGAGAAAAACAGAAGAAGAATGTAAAGTTTGGGCCATCAGTCGCCCAGTACGTTGGATTATTCCCAGTAAGGATCCTTTAAAGCGACACACTGACTGCCAGTAAGGACAGTTGCTTTGCTTTGCCATACGTGTTAAATAATAGCTATTTACACCCATCAGTCAATTCAAGAATAGACCAAACAAAACGTCCTTTCCCAATCTACACTCTCCAGCTCCTAAAAGGAGGAATATGTCAATAATACTTTTGAACAGGTTCTCCTACCTGAGCTGTGAATGTTCCCAGCTCCTCCAGAGTCACAATGTGCCTCATAGCTACTTCTCTTATTAATTCTGTCTTTCTTTCTGTAGTTTAAGTTTGTATGGTAGGTTTGCAGTTTTGTTGTATTCTTTATGATTAGCAGTTTGTGTTACATTATGTGAGGTGTCCTTCCACCTCACATATATGTATAACATTTTGTTAATATTTCACAATCAATTAAGATATGCTTTTGATCATAATCCCAATAAGAAAAAGGGTTTTAACAATTCTTTCATGTTTTATGCAATATCTGCATAGATTATTTACAACAAAAAGTCACCAATGGTACAAAAGTTTTAGAGATAATTTCAAGTTCTGCTTTGTTTTTTCCCATTTCTTCTTTCTTTTTACGGGTTCACTCAATTAGTTTTATTCACAAAGTTTTTTGTAGGTAACTCATTTTATACTAAATACTAAAATAGACATTTTCATTTAAACTTCGTGGTTTTCAAATGAACATTTTTTGTTTTTTCTGTGCATTCACAAGTAAAATACGATAGTTTAGAAATGCACAAGGAAAGTCATAATTTCTGTTAAGGACATGTGGAACAACGGAGCGGTTTGTTCTTTGTTTCTATGGACTCTTCCACTTCGTTGCACATGCTGCAGTGTAAATGTTCTAACTGCTCTGAAGTTTTGGCGTTTGTGTTGCAGATACAAGATGGAGGGTGACAACTGCAGTTTTCCTCCAGATCTGTCTGATGATCATTCGCAAAGAGGAAGTGTGGCTTCTTCCGCAACGCTTTCCCGTGGTATGGTGCAATTGAATCAAAAACGGAGGAATGAATTAACTCCCTCCTCGATTTATTTATTTATTTATTTTTTACCTCAAAGTCTATTTAGATTATTAAAAATAGAAAAGCCTGTATTGTGATGCTGTAAACAACTTTTTTGCGTGTGTCCCACAGCTCAGGACGTGCTCGTGTATTTGTTTGGTGAGAGTGCGGTCCACTTAACCGTGGAAGGGCTCGGCAGCGTCTCTGTGCAGGAGTTGGGCCGTAGCGTTCGTGAAGCCCTGCAGATCCCAGAATCCGCACCGGATGCTTTCGCCTTTTGGCTCTGCTCGCCATTGCTTGGTAAGAACACCATTTTTTTTTTTTTTATTGATTTGGACATCCTTTCATCTTTTAATAAGTTCAAGAAACAGCTAATTGAATTGCCTTTTCTTTTATGCCTTATTCTGCAGAGCTGCAGCTGAAGGCGAGGCATCAGCCGTACAAACTGTGCAGGCAGTGGCAGGATCTGCTGTATCGATTCACTGAGGCGTCAGAAGACGACATTTCACAAGGTGGGAACTTGAATGGGATTAGCACAAAGGGTCTTCTTTGGAGTAAACTAATGGCCTGGGGCTGTTTAACACTGAGATCACCTGGCATTTTTTCCACACACACTCTGGCTTCACAGGTAAAACATGCTAATTAGGTTAATGTGTAAGAATAACATAGCTGAGCATCAACTTTCATGGCTCTTTGACTGCATGACAGGATTGACTGTATGCTGTGGACTAGAGCTGAAACAATTTTTTGTGAAGAATCAGTTATTGAAACAATCGTCAACTAATTTAGTAATGGATTAATCGTTAACTGGAGTATGCAGCCAAAACAAGCTATTTGCTAAAAGAAGAACACACTCAGAGCAGTAATTGAGTAAGTGTTCAAAAAAAAAATTAAATCAATTTTGCATTTAAGATTAAAGTAAAAAAAACATTGTCTGTACACATGTTCTTCCCAGAATTCCTCAAGTATCTTCTTTTGCTAACCATTTATCATTCAATCAATCCAAAACATAGTCAGCATATTAGCTCTCGATTATATTGATGGTAAGTCGAGCAGGAATGACTAAGCTTTTCAAATGTTGTTGGAAATATTTTTTTCGCTGCAGAAGAATTGTTTGCTAGAAACCATCAAGAGTACAATAAAGGAATGTTTTTTTTTTTAAATTTCAGCCAATAAAATTTTCATTTGTCTATTTCCATTTTTAATGTATTTCTAGTGTTTTGTAAAAAAAGGCTTTATTTTTTAAATAAATCTGCAGACTGCCAATTTTTCATCTGGTTAATCATCAGAATAATCAACCACTAAAGTAATTATTAATAGTTGCAGGCCTTCTGTGGACAGAGTAAATCATGGCTACAAATAGGTGTCATAAAGTAAACATAAAGTTGTTTCTCAAAGTTTAGTTTAACAAGAGTTTATATGCAGTATTTTTGCAGCTGAGGGCCAGTTTATGTAAAAACCTCAACAAGATAGAAAAAAAAGCTATCAAATATTGTGCTTTTTCACATTAAAGTTTAGCTGTAATAGAATTTAGAGACTTGTTTTGTCTTGCAAACAATTATTTTCCCACTGTAATAATCCTTGTGGAATTAAAGTAGTTCTTACAAAGGTGCACAATGGACAGATTTTTAGAGTCTTATGCTCAAAGTTTTACACCAGAAAACTCATCTTTCACAAACAGGCCACACGTCACAGCAGACTTTTGCTGAATTGCTACTCGTCTCTAAACGGCTGTGAGGTGTGAGCCGGTGACGCAGTTTGCTGTTTGTTTTTTCTTTTTTTGTGGTTATTAACAATCAAAGTGGAAAAGCTCACGTTTTAACTCCAAGTCACAGAAAAAGGGAACGGCTAAAAACACCACCAAGGATTTCAAGGGCAGTATTTAATTGCATTGAAAGCTTTTTATTTTATTTTATTTTTTTTATTTTTCCCTTTTTGTGTAGGAAGTACTGCCCACACTCGAGGGTTGTCAGCCTGGACTGAGTGGGTTGAGTTGTCTGTAGCCTCAGTGCTCTGAATCGAGAAACTCTTGTTAAGTGTTAAACTAAATTACCTAAAATCCAGTAAACACTGACACATCATTATTTCCTGCTTTTCTTTCTTTCTTTTTTTCTCCTCAGATGAACCATATCTACAGTACAGGCGCAACGTGTTTTATCCAAAATCTAAAGAGCTGCAGGTACTGCAAAGCCTTCATTGTGATTCATTATGACTGACTAATTTGCACGAATCTCTTTAGCTCATCGTCGCTTTAGAAAACACTAATTGTGTCTCTCCTACTCCACAGATTAAAGATGAGACGGTGTTGAGACTTCTCTACGAGGAGGCCAAGAGCAACATCCTCTCTGGCCGATACCCCTGCGACCCGGAGCACTGGGCGGGGCTTGGCGCCTTGTCCCTCGCTCTTGAAGAGGGGCCTGGTCTCGACAGCCAGCAGATCACGACTAAAATCAGGTAAGCGAGTGAGTTGATCTGTCGGTTTATGTTTAAGAAGCTGCTGCTGTGCGGAATCTGATCAGATGAATGTGCCACAGAATCATTTCTAAAAGGTGAATCAGTCAAACATGCAGTTCGTCTCTTTTTTGGGTCGTCATGCCAAGGGAAGCCTTACCAACATTCCCACAGTTTAAGTGGGAGTGCACCGATCAGGGTTTTACCGGCCAATGCCAATTTTCTTTCAGGTCTGATTCCAATTTTCCTTTCAAAATGCCACCAAAACCTACTAATGTTTATATACGTTATTGCTCAGACATTGTTTTGTCATGATATTGATTTACTATCAATATCTGAAATGTATCATTATAACAATGAATCAAAAAAAACAATTTTATGATAAATGATAAACGTCACGTCACTAATTCAAACTTCTGTAAGAGGGGAGAACTCGCAACACCATTTACAAGCACATGATGTTATTTGTTGTGTTGTGCTTCAGTTTTATGTTTCTCATCCACGGTGGAGCCGAACGTGTTAAGACAAATACAGAAAATATGTGGTATTTGCTGTATTCGCTGTAAATACTCCTGGTATTTACAGCAAATACCAAGAGTATTTGCTGTAAAATAATTTGAATATATCTTTGACAACGCAAGAGCAAATAATCCCTTTTTTTGCAGTAAAACAAAACATTAAAAAATGAAACGGGAATGTGTTTGTTCTTGTCGGATTCAACTGTGAATTATCACACAGGGATAAAATCTAATTTCACCTTTGCCCTCCGCTGCGCGCAGGGAAAAGAAGCTGCCTTCCTTCGTTCCGGCTCACGTTGCCATGGGCAGCGGAGGGTTCTTCTCCACTCTGCGGGGGAAATCGAGCCGCCAGGCAGAGCTGGAGCAGAAGCTCTCCGAGGAGTACGGAAAGATCAGCAAATCCACTGGAAGCTCTCCGGAGCCTCAGCAGCTCCTGCACCAGTACCTCAGCATGTGTCACACTCTGCCTTACTATGGGTAGGAACCGTTGTATTAGCCACTTTTTGTTTTGTTTGTTTTCACGCTTTGACACCAAATCCACCATCAGGTCCGCCTTTTTCTGCGGGGAGATTGACAAACCAGTTCAAGGCATCCTCCAGCGGGGAAAACGTAAAGCTGTCAGTGTTGGCATCTGCCTGGACGGAGTTTATGTAATGGATGTGAAGGAGAAGGTGAATTTCTTTGCCTTTTTGGGTTTTTTTTGGTGGGGGACGAATATTTCTAACAGTCCTAACTTTGTGCACAGTTGGAGAGTTATTAGCCGTTTACTTCTTCTCATGAAAAGTTGTCCTCTTGCCGATCACGTCTCGTTGCAGCACGTCCTGCTCGGGCTGCGTTTCAGCGAGCTTTCGTGGGACCACAGTCGCCCCGAAGAGGAGGGGGACTCGCACATCCTGTGGCTGGAGTTTGACGGGGAGGAAGACGGCACTCCCGTCAACAAACTGCTGAAGATTTACTCAAAACAAGTAAGAAAACAGGAAAATATGGCAAAATGATTAAATGATCTTTGATGAAATACTCACATCCCTTGGATTCCTCGAGATTTTGTCCCTGTAATGTTTCCTATTCTGATTTTGTCGTTGAAGAAGTTGACTTAGTTAACTTGATTTTAAAAGTAACTGTTAGATTACAAGTTACATTATTAGTTGACAACAACCCCTCACCGCCTCAACATAAAAATACCAATCAGAGTGAATCAACTGTATTTAAAAGCAGCATTTCCACTACTACATCCTGTTCAACCAATTTCTTCTCTCTACGACTTACTGGTTTTGCACCAAATTCTAACTTTGGAAAATAAAAATCTGGTTTTTCTGAATAAAATGACAAAAAATATCAGCTAATCTGATTACTGAACTGGAAATAGTAACCTGTTGAATTACTCGTAACTGGAAAAAAAGAGGTAAGTAACCTGACGCCGCTGGTGATAATCAGAAAATAATGCATAAAAATAGAAGCCAACATGGTTTCAAGTGTAGTGTGCTTTTCTATTCAGACCCCTTTGCTATGATGCCCTTAGTAAACATTTGAAGTGTTGTGAATACATTTGAAAGGCTGCATTTTCAGTTTTTCCTGCAGAGGGTGATGAGTGCAGTGGTCTTACATCATCAAAAGCTGTGATTGGAAAAAAAGCTGTTTGGGCACCAGATGGCAAAGGGGCATTACATAACATCGGAAGCAGTAAATTATAATCACACTCGGGTCCAATCCGACGATGCCAGTATGAGCGCTATGTGCCTCTGCTTCCCCGTTTCAGATAAAATGGAGATTAAAGCTGGTGTGTATTGTGCAGAGAAGAAAAGGTGACAAAATAATCTCTTTATTTTTTTTCCTAGGCTGAATTAATGAGCGGCTTTATCGAGTTCTGCGTGGAGCTGATGTCGACGTCAGAGGGGGGCGCCGCCAACGAGCCGGGCGTTCCTCAGGAGCCCACCGGACAGGAAGCCAGCACCAGGAACGGCCGCGGAGGGCGCCGCGGGATGCTGCAAAGGCAGGGCAGCGTCGTGTGCAGCCGGGTCCACTCCCTCAACACTATCAGCTACGTGGATAACGGTGAGTTCTCGAAATAAATCCGAAATAAAAGCAAGAGGGAGCATTTCTAGGTTCCATTGTTTTGTGTTTCAGGCAAAGAAATCAAACGCTTAAAGCCAAAAAGAGCCGCGTCCTTCTTCACTCGACAAGCCACGGTGCCCACCTACTCCGCTGTGAACACTGAGAGCCTGGAGCAGGGTTAAACCTCTCTGCCTCCGTCTCCTCAACGACCAAACCTGGACGTTTTTACACTGAGATGTAAAAGTGAAAAATTAGACTTCCTTTTTTTCCTTTTTTTTTTATTCAGCTAGTCTCTGAGCAAACCAAGGACCAAGTTAGAGGTATCTATGTGTGGGTGTATTTATCGTTTTAAAGTGGTCTATAGTATGAGAGTACATTAATGTGAAAACTAAGATCTTTCTAAAATCCGAACCTGCAAAGATTGAACTGAACTTTCCGGACGGCAGACGGCCTTACACTCCCATCAAACACTCTTCGGCGGAGATGAACCTCAGAGAAATCCGCTCAGCGTAAACTATTTCTTCAAACATGCCACACCTCAAAGGAGCATTAACCACCACAGTACCTCTTTCTTTCTTTAAGCTTCCTGTTAAGATTATTGCAGCTTCCCCTCAGTCAGCATGACCAACACTTTTAGGGGGGAGTAGCTTAAGGGTGCGAAGGCATTATTCTGCTTTTTTTTTTCTTTCAAACTACTGGTGCCTTGTTCTCTCGATTGACGGTGAAGCCAAGTTGGAGAAGCACTGGTAGAAACATAAAGGGTTCACTGTTATGGCAGCACATTTGCTGTGCTGTGGAAGTTTCTTGTGAGTACATTTTCTATTTCTTTTCATTTGAGGATTTTTATATTCATCCTTTTTTTTTTGTGAAAGCAACAACTAAATATAAGTGAGAGTTAAAGATTAAAGTTAGGAACAGAGATTTGAATCATAAATTAATAATGAACTTATAGATACCAATGTTATTCCGTTATGGTGCCTTACAAAAGCATTTATACCAATTTGACACAAACTTCATTGTACTTTTAACATGTTGCCAACAGACCAGCACAAAGTACCGCATAATTGTCAAACAAAACCACCTTTTGGTTCAATTGTGAATCTTTTTCTGTGTGTTTGTATAAACAGTAGAAGAAGATTTTTTTATTTTTTTTTTTGCTGAGACTTTCTTGCAAAATGTTGTAAGCTCAGCCAGCCTGGACAAAAACTACAGGTTCCTGATTCAGCATGATGCTGCCATCGCCATGCAACACCAAGTGAATGTTGTGTGCAGTATTAGATTTAGATTCACTTCACAATTATGCACTACTTTTCTGTCACATAAAATCTTATTAAAATACACCACTGTTTGTTAAATGTAAAAAAAAAAAAAAACAGGTCGATGCTTTTGCAAGGAACTTTCTAGTTGGAGGTAAAATTTGAAGGTAATCTTTTAATTTTCCACCCTACGTACCGCTGACACTAAATAAATGCTCACATTTATTAATTATTTCATGTTATTTATTCAATGAGTTTAAATTTACCCTGTTTAAGCGAACTAATGGTAAAGTTTTGTTGAAGAAGAGAGAAAGCAATATCGATGTGTAGTAGAACATTTTCAACTTTCACAAAGACGGATTTCCACTTGTCTTCTCGAGGCGTCGGGTTTCAATGAGGTGGTAAAATTCAAAAACAGCATCTTATGGCAAATCTGACTGTACTGTATACATTTTATTCTCCACGTTTCACCAAACCTACCTACCTACTCCTCAATTTATCTGAGTTTCAGACCGATGCAGCCGCCTCAAGTCTGAATTGTGCGTTTCAAATTTTACACTGAAAGAAGCCTAATATATCTAACACTGCCTTCCACCCGAACGTCTGCTGTCGCTTGATAAGTGACAGCCTCACACGTTCTTTCTCCTCTCTTTATGCAAGCTCAAGAATGTTTTTTTGTTTTGTTTTTGAGCCTCAGATTGTATCTCCGCGACCGTCTGTAACCGCTAGCAGTCCTGTCACATTGTTGGTAACACACTCTATGCATGACTCGTAGAATTGTCATTCCGACAGCCTCCGCCTAATGTAATGTTGCACTAATACTAACATAATCTTTATACAAATGTTTCCATCAACTGACTTTTGAACTTTTATGATTGAATATATTTACTTCCATCTTCTTATGTTTGTGTTTGTATACAGTAATGAAGAATTAGGTCTAATCAAATGCTGTCTCTTTAAGCAGTCGCTCTGAAGAAGCAGAAGTGCCTTTTTTAAAAAAACATGTTGATATCAGAATCCCTGTTTCCACACTTTGAAATCGGGAACTAAAATGATTTGTATGTATTTTACCTTTCCTACTGATGTCTTGTATGCAGTCAGTTCTGCTGTCTTTTTAATGTAAAATAAAGCAAGATGCATTAATTAAAAAAAACAAAAGTGTGCTTACTACACACCTAAAAACTGTACTGTATACTGAAGCCATATTCATTTTAACCAGCATGATGCACTGTTACAACTTTAATCTTAAAACCATCTGTAGTTTTATTTTCCATCTGAACTAAAACAGGCTCACCATTTCTATCATTACACATTTGCTGATTGTTGAAATGAAATGTTCTGTTGTAAAATACTTGTTTGGTATGTATGAAGTAATATAAAAGACTGTGGTTCCTTTCCATGTACTCTTGTAGATATTCTGTGAAGTGCACCTTTGTTTATTCTGATTCCAAAACCTACTATAAAGACAAAATGATACGGCAGGAGAGGAGCTTTTCTTCTGTTTGTTGTGAGTGACAAAGAAGAAATCATCCATCCATACTCTTAGTCGAAAATCTTTCTAGTTGGAAAAATAAATGTCAAGACTTCCAAGTGAGAAAATTTCAGATTTTTCACCAGCTCCAGTGTCAAATTCCAACATGGCTCCTATCCAATGATAGGTCAGTCATAAACAGCGCATTCACACTTGTGTGTGTGTTTATCTGATTAAATCATTTATACTCCTAGAAAAGAGAGGTTTAATCTTAGAATTCTGAAATAAATTAAATATTATTTTATTTATTTATTGTCAAGCACAAGGGCAGAGTCTGTTTTTACACAATCAGCAGACTTAAAAGGAGGAACAGAGCAGAGATGTCAGAACAAAGGGAATTGAGGGAACAATTAGGACTAAATGAATGATGTTCATTCAAATTCAAAATGGTGTGCATCACTCATTGACATATAAATGGAATATAATCCCATTGTTGTGCAGAATAGATAACAGTGGTAAAAAAGTACAGACCCCCCCATCTTGGAAAAGTCTCAAATTGTCCCCCCCAAAGAAATCATAAAAGAAACCTTTGTATTTAAACAATACCAGTATAAAAAGGCAATAAAAACAAAGAACGAAATAAATCTGTAATACATCTAAGAAAAAACAAGAATAAATTTTTAGATCCAATGATTCAGTCCCAAAAAGAAAAAAAAAGAGAAGGTAAATGGCCCTTTAAATAGTTCTGGTGCTCGCATGCGCAGTAGTATACCCGAGTCAGGCTCGATTACGTTCACTTTGCGAGAACGTAAGTATGGATTGGCTACGAATGCGGAAATAACAACGACTCCATACAGCTGCGTTTCCTCCCGAAGAAAATATGACAGATTTGGAATATTTTGAATAACAAGTTTTCGTCATTCGGGACATTCGGCTAAAACTGAAAAAAAACAAACAAAAAAAAAAAAAAACATTTAATCATTTTAAACGGAGAGTTGGAGTTTTCAGTCCGTGTTTCTGAGCTGTCAGGTGTTTGTTTCGGTTCGTCCGTTTTGGCAGCTGGTCGGAGTTCGGTATGGACGCCGACGGTTCGGTGTCGGACGAGTCCGGGAGGAAGCGGAGGGTCCACGGTATGCTGAAGCTTTACTATGGGCTAAACGAGGAGGGTAAGGCCCCGGAGCAGCCGCAGTCCCTGGATCCCTGCGACATCAACGGGCCGCACTTTGACCCGGATCTGTACCTTAACAAGGTGCTGTTTGTTCAGCTTCTACTATCACACTTATATAGTCGTATGAACGCAAGTTATATATTTTCCAGCACTTTATATTTACATGTAAATACGTAGGATGACTTTAAGGTCTTGCTGTGGAAACACAAGACACTTTGGTGGATGTTAATTTGTTTTAATTACTAAATTTGAGTCAGTGCTTCATAGTACTATGTGCTTTATTAAAGGATGTTTAATGACCATCGTGTTTCTGAAACTGCAGCTGAGAAGGGAGTGCTCCCTTTCTGAGCTGATGGACCACGAGACCTGCATGGTGAAGCAGATCCGCTCTCTGGACAGTGACATGCAGACTCTGGTCTATGAAAACTATAACAAGTTCATATCTGCTACAGGTAAAGTCGATGATGCGCATGTGTCTGTAGCCCCTGAACTACTTCATGTTTTGTCACGTTGCATTCACAAACTTCAGTGTGTGCAGTAGACCAAAATAAAGCACTGTAGCATTGTAAAGGATAATAATGATAATACAAGATTTCAACAATAGATTAAGTTTCAAGCCTTGTTGCTCAGTTTGTTTTAGGTCTGTACTTTGACTGGGCCATTATAGCACACAGACACATCTAAACTAGGAGCCTGCAACATGCAGCTCTTTGAAATTGTTGTAATGTGACCTTACAAAGGTCTTCAGATTCAAGGACACTGAAGACCTTTGCATGTTTGTGAGGTATTTCCTCTCTCGTTAGACACCATCAGAAAAATGAAGAACGATTTCAAAAAGATGGAGGACGAAATGGATTGCTTGTCTGCGAACATGGCTGCTATCACTGACTTCAGCGCTTCCATCAGCGGCACGCTTCAGGACCAGCACGCACAGATAACCAAACTCTCTGGTATAATCCACATTTTTATTTTATGTTTTTTTTACTTTTGTTTACCTCTAGGATGATTTTCTTAGTTATTTGTCCCGTTATGTTTCTTGCCAGGGGTTCACACACTACTGAGGAAACTTCAGTTTCTGTTTGAGTTGCCTGCTAGACTGAATAAGTGTCTGGAGCTGCAGGCCTATGCTCAGGCAGTGAGCTCCCACCGGCGTGCTCGCTGCGTGCTGCAGCAGTACAGCCACCTGCCCTCCTTCAAGGGGATTCAAGACGACTGCAACGCCATCATGGAGAAGCTGGCTCAGGAGCTTCGGCAAAAGTTCAGGTGGAAATCTGTAAAGATCAGGGAAAGATGACGCAATCATTAATTACAGGATCCTTAAGAAGTCTTTAAATTCTTGTGTCTAAAATTAAAACATGTTGAATTGATAAAATAAGATATACGTTTGCCTTAAATGCATTAATCACAGGTTTCATTTTTTGTTGTGCCAGGACTACTTAATATAGTTTGTTGGCTTGTGGCGCTTTTCATTCAGGAAAAAGGCTGAGTTGTACGCAAACATCTTCATTGGTTGAGGCTATCGCTGACTGGCTGATAGTATACACTTGCTACATAGATTTTTTTGAGCCTATCATGGGTACTTGCAAATTTATCAGCAGTTGGCTTGCCTATATTTAATTTTTTTTGTATGAAATTTTATTCAAGTTTCCAATAAATTAAATTTGACTTCCTGAAACGTATAGTAAATAGGTGAATTAGTAAATATGCCCACAGACATGTTTCTTTCATTCTTACTAAGCTTGTGCTGTTTCATAGGAAGGTTCAGTTAATTGATGTGGTAAGCCAGTTGAATAACTGGGATTGAGAACTAAAGTTTTTTTTTTTAAGATTAAAAAACTGCATTTTCTTAAACTGTATAATTATATCACACGACATCCATTCCCTTAAGATGCATTGATGTTGTTATGGCAAAACTTGGAAACGTAGGCATGTGAATATGTTTGCAAGGCACCATGTATTGACTCTGTTTAACAGTATTTTGTGTGTGTGTGTGTTTATAGAGATGGCGGGACGAGCGCCAAAGACCTGTCAGAGTGTGTGGAGCTCCTGCTGCAGCTGGATGAGCCAGCAGAGGAGCTCTGTGATAAATTCCTGAGTCATGCACGCTCTCGACTGGAGCAGGACCTTCAGGGGTTGGAAGCGGAGATCAAACCGTACCCGCCGACTCCAGCTTCGAAAGAGGCTGCAACACGCAGGTCATCGTCTTCTTCTACAGCCGCAGGGTCGCCGAGCGATAATTCCCCTAAGACGCTCTCTCTACCTTCTCCCACCCCAAACACCGACATTCTCGAATTCATAGACAGAGGCTGCAATGAATTTGTCAGCAGCTTATGTCTGGTTATTACTTCCTATCAAGAATTGTTCATCAACCATGCTCAGACAGGCGAGCTGGCTTCGAAGAATATTCCTCAGATGGCAAACGGCAAGCTGCAGGCCTTCGTGGATGACCTGGCGGCTCGGTATTTCTCGCTTGTCGAGAGGAGGATACAAGAAGAGAAAGGCGTCGGCGATAATTCCCTCCTGGTCCGCGCTCTAGACCGCTTCCACCGCAGACTGCAGGCCGTGACCAAACTGCTGCCTGGCTCGGCCGTTCCAAACCGGGGGACGGAAATCGTGATAAGAGCGGCAACGGAGCGAGTGAAGCAGTATCTCTCTGCTCTGCAGAGCTTCTACATGGACAGCCTGACAGATGTGAGACAGGCCCTAGCAACGCCTCGACTCTCCGTGGCTGGAGGCGGAGTGCATCTAGGAGGGCCTGCTGCTGGCAGGGATGCTCCCAGCAGTCTTCCAGAGCTTCTCTCATCTCTGTCAGCTTCTATTCTCAACCAGATCAAGTCGGTGTTGGCGTCAGTCCATCTTTTCACCGCCAAGGACATTACTTTCTCCAACAAGCCTTACTTCAAGGTAAATCTCCTTTGTTAAAAACATTTTTTATGAACTTTATTGATTTTCCATCAGTCGGTTCCTTCCTCAGAAAGTCACGCAAAATCATCAGTTTGCCACACTTTTTCATGTCATTGTATAATTGAAAGGTTTTTGCAAATTTTTCACAAAATTGCTCAAAAAACATTTGGTTTAAGTGATGCTAACTCTCACCCATGTCAGGCTACAATCTGTGATCAATATGGCGAGTAACAAAAAGTCACATTTACAGACACAAGTATCACGAAACCTCTTGCTGATATTTGTAAATAAGCTTTGCAAAATCATTCTGATAGCAAAAAGAAAAAGAAAAAAATCGAAAAGGAACGCAAAATCTAGGAGGGACAGATCAGTTTGGAAAGGTGTTTAAAATGATTTAATTTTAAGAAGCAATTCCAACACAGCTGTTTAGTAATGTCTTAACAGTTGGGGTAAATGTTTTATCAATACATTCTGGCACAACTGGCCGTTTGAGAACATTCATGTTATATATTGCCCAAAAGGAAAATGAGTTTGACACTCCTGTTCTAAACAAAGTTAAAAAGTGAGTTTTTAATGAAAGCTTTTCTCTATATCATTGCCACAGGGGGAGTTCTGTAGCCAGGGAGTCCGTGAGAACCTGGTGGTGAACTTCATCAGGTTTGTGTGCCAGTCCTCTCGACACTTTTGCGAAAGCGCCGGCGACAAAGGAGGATCCACGCCCCCGGCTCTCCTGCTGCTGCTGTCTCGCCTCTGCTTGGACTTTGAGACGTCTACCATCACCTACATACTCACACTCACAGATGAACAGTTTCTCGTCCAGGTATTGGAGGACTGTAAGAAAATCTTTAAGATGTGTGTGGTTGTAGCATGACAAACTGTAAACAAGTTTTTAAAATGACAAAGACTGGCCGTCTTTTTCAGCACCAAAATCCCATAACACCAGTCACAACGTTATGTGGAGAAGCAAGAGAAGCGGCACAAAAACTCCTCAACCATTATGTCAAGGTATTTCACCATTAGAAACAAGAATATAGAGTCAAGAGTAAAAATACACAGCATCTCCAAGACGACACCTTGTTTCTTTCTCTATCCAGGTTCAGGGTTTGATAATTTCACAGATGTTAAGAAAGAGCGTTGAAACTCGAGACTGGGTCAACACCATCGAGCCCAGAAACGTCCGAGCTGTGATGAAGAGAGTAGTGGAGGACACCACCTCCATCGACGTGCAGGTATCGCTCTGAACGACAGACTGAGCCAAACTGCCACGGTTCCTACATGAACATCACCCATGATTGTCCTGCACCGCAGGTTGGTCTGTTGTATGAAGAAGGCGTGAGGAAGGCCCACAGCAGTGACTCAAGCAAAAGGACCTTTTCCGTCTACAGCAGCTCCAGGCAGCAACCCCGTTATGCAGCCAGCTACACACCGAGGTGAAGCAACCTTGTTTATGAAACTCTGTTGCATTGGATAGCAGTTTGAGTTTATAACTCCTGATATACAGATCAGAGGTGAGCTGTGTTTTCATTACAAACATGCACAAAACCTTGCTAATGTAAAAAACCAAAACCAAAAAATGGTTTCACAATCTCGGTGTTTGCATTAAATAATGAACTGGTTAATGTGACAAATCATTACAAATCATGGAGGTGACAGATATAGACATTTACACAAGACTTCAGTGTTTATTCTGGCATTGGAGCGACAAGCCCGTTATGCCTCAGAGTGGCTGTATTTGGTGTTTTGGGGAAATTGTAGTCAGCGATTTTACAGAAGAGCTACGAATTAAACACTTCCGAATGACAAACTCGACTCTTCATTCTTTGGCAGTGTTAGTTGTTTCAACACTGACTCTTTGTGGCACCACATGAGGCCATCTGCCTCCTGGCAGTTTGTACTGACAATGTGTTGATTCGTACATGTTTTGAAATGCTTTGTAACTTACTCATATTCTACTGTAAAGAGGTTTTACTCAAACTTTACTTTGGTGTGATCTGGGACCATATTTCATGAGCCAACCAGTCCCTTTGAGAATCAGACCAAAATAAATAGAAACATTATACAATGTTTTTTTGATGGTTGTATCCAATTTAAATAAATAGAGCAAGATTTTGACATTAATTTATCTCCTTGATTCATAAAAATGCTGTGGACAAAGTTGTTTAAATGGGAAAATAAATGGAAGTGGGAATGGCCTCAATGACAGAGTCGGCACAGAATTGGTGAATCGCTATTTATGTCTACAGAGGTAATGTTATCACAGTTGCAGTGTTCCTAAAAATTCTGTAAAGTGAAAACTAATTTCATTTGCTTCTCTACTTAAGTGAGTCATTATTGTGTAGCGATGATGTCTAGAATAGGAGCAAGAACTGATTGGTTGTTGTTTATCTGCAGCGCTCCCATGGATACCAATCTGCTGAGCAACATCCACAAGCTGTTTTCTGAAAGGATCGACATCTTTAGCTCAGTGGAGTTCAACAAGGTCAGTGCTGCTCTTCATTTACTTTAAATAAATATGATTTAACAGGCTTAGAAGCGGCACATGAGAATCTCCTCCACGCTAAAGAAGCAGGCTGCGATCCGGGACCTGCAGGCTGTCTGCCTTTGGGAACGTGTGAATTGGAGCATGCTCAATGATGCTGCTGGTTACATTTTCAAGTTGACTTCTTCGACTCTGGAGGCGCGGACGTGGGCGCACTTTAAACATGCTAATGATACCCCTCGATTTCCTCCTTCGCATCATTTTCTAGCCACTCAGGGCAGAAAACAACAGAATGTCTAAGGCTGTTCTGCCAACGTAGATTCTTGTTGCATTTATCTAAAGCATCACTAAAAACGTTATTCAGATTTATTTACTGTTTTCTCTCGTAGTCTGTGTAGAAGTCTCCCTTCTTTGTGTTTCTCGTTTCCAAGCTCTTGATTTAATGAACTTGGCTTCCAACCGCTGGCTGATGTCTTCAGTTTCCTCATAAGCACGTAGGAACTGTCCAGTGTGTGCTCAGCATGGAGATCTGCTTCTTACAGCGCATGACTTTGCATCCACAGACGCTGTTCTTTCCTCTTGGGAAGTTTGGATATTCCTTCATGTTGATTTGTTAACTCGCAGTAATGGTTTCTGCCAGAAGTTTACAGCCACTCAACATTGGCATGTATGTCATTTATGTTAATTTTTATCTTTAATTGATTTTGAGGGGGATTGATTATTAAAGCTTCAATGCATTTTTGCAAACGAGTATCAGGCAAATTTACATTTACTGTGGGTTTTCTCTGACTTCCATTGTGATGAACTTATACAAACTGCATCAAATTAACATAAACACCCCCACCAATATTTGAATAAATGACTTTTACCAAGTTACAGGAACAAAAACACGATTTCTTCTTGTAGCCATCAAGTAAAGGCAGAGTTTTCATAAAATGGATGGCTGCCTAGAACAAATAATTCATGAATTTCAACAAGGCTGACTTTCGAGCCATTCCAGAAGCTTGAATGTCAGCTGTATATGTTCCAAAACCAACTTTCAGATGTAGTTGAGGGTTCGTTTACACTGTTCAGTTCGCTTTGATTCAACTCTAGCTTGTTTGCCTAGAAAGTCTGGTCCATTTCGGAAGTGTGAATGCGAAATCGAACCCTGATCTGGAACAAAAAGTGAAATTTGATCCTCCTAAAAAGCCAGGTGAAGATTGGTCGAAGTGAACTCTGGTGCGGTCTGAATTCATACGTGAAAGCCAAGCGGGCCAGAGACCGCTTCAAAAGCAGGAAGCGAACTAAAGTGCAGGGCATTGTGGGTAAATACAATCAAAGAAAACGCATGAGTCTAGCGCTAGCTGGAAAAATGGTTTGTGTTTTTCTTTTAACAACCTACAAAAGAAAAGTCCTACAACTGACAGCACTTTATTTTCATTTACAATTTGTGAAGACAGTTCAGAGGTTTTCATGTTTTTTCCTTCAGTAGTTCTCGGTGCAGCGTTGCTTTGACCAACGCTCCACTGTTCTTCATTCCTTCAGCCTCATCCCGTCACCCGTCTACTGGCCAAATTAACGTGTCCTCTCTCCCAGGTCTCTGTGATGACGGGAATCATCAAAATCAGCCTGAAGACGTTCCTGGAGTGTGTCCGCCTGCGCACTTTTGGGCGCTACGGCCTGCAGCAGATCCAAGTCGACTGCCACTACCTGCAGATGTACCTGTGGCGCTTCGTATCAGACGAGAACCTCGTTCACTTCCTGTTGGATGAGATAGTGGGAAGCTCCGCTCACCGCTGCCTGGACCCCTCACCGATGGAGCAGAGTGTTATTGAAGTGATCTGTGAGAGAGGCTGAGTTGTACCTCTGTTACGTTGTTCAGGAATCGTTTAGCCACTATTGGCTTTATTTCGGTGAATACTTTAAACATATTGAAGGAAAATTATTGTCCGAATCTCTTGTTTATTACTCCTCCGACAGTTCTCGGCTGGTGTATTTCCAAGATTCACCAATCATGTTGTTGTTTGTCGAGTTTACTTACAGTTTCTAATGTTAATAATTTACTATTAAATAATAATTAAACAAAAAAACTTGGATTCATCTCTAGCACTCCGACCTTGAAGATAATATGAATGTGAAAAGAAAACACTGATGATTAAAGAGCAAAGCTGTGTCCAGTGAAAGCTGCTCCATTGATAAATATCTTGAGGCTATTTATGGACCTTTTTTTGTTTTCATCCATTAACTGTAAACTGCAGTACATCCATGTTTCCTGTCTGTTTTTGTGACTAAACTAACTTGAATGTATGTCCAGAATAAACATGTATGGGTTTAAAAGAGCCTGTTCTTATTCATTCTTAAAACATGGAACTTTAGGTGTTTGCTTTCCTAAAGCATCGATGCGATTCAAGAGTTGTTTCCCAACAGACTGGCCTCTGAGGAGTTTTCCTGCTTCAGCTGTCGCCACCTGATTTGGCTGGCTCTGATTGGTTAAGGCCTCTTGCCTCCACCCTCTTCTGATGACAACGGACGAATCTGATTGGCTGAAAGGGAGCTTCGTGCCGACAGGTCGTACGTTGGGCGGATCCGCGTGCAGGTTGCAGTATGGACATCCTCTAAGGCTCGGCAGACTCCCTCGTATCCCCAACACTGGTAAGAAATTTAATTTACTAAATAACAGATTCTCCCTTTTGACGTTCAGTTAATGGTAATGGCGGCGTTTCTAGACGGTGTTGCCTCCAATTTCTGTGTAGAAAGGTTGGTATGTGTGTCACTGGCTGCACTTTGACCCGAGTTTTGACAGTTATTACTCTTAACACAACCCGCTTATTAAACATAGCCTGGAGCAAATAACCTCAGGATTTTATTTTATTTTCTTAGGCAACATTTTGATTCTCATTCGTTGAGTTGGCTTCATCATTTAATGTAAATATTGAATTTAATTCCAAGGAACTAGTGTGAAATGCAAGACCTCACAATATTTTAGAAAGTTTATTTATTTTTATTTTTTAAGCATGTATGGTGTATCATATCAGCTATAACATCTAGATGGCAATTTTACAACGACTGTGTTGTTGTGCATGTCCAGTCAGAAGTTTATTATTGTCCTTAATTTTGATTTTAAAAGGGAAGTTGAAGAATTTTTGAGCAATGCTGCGCTTACTACTTGAAGCAAAACACAGCAGCATCACGATGCTGCCACCTCCATAAAAGTCTGGATGATGTCCACTATCTGTGTCAATTATTCCATACAGGAGGAGGAAAATGGGACCCAGGAAAGCCCTGAAACACAAACTGTCACACGACACAGAAAGAGAGTTTGGAGGAACTCTGGGTAAGCTGGAGCCGTGCCGCGAACTTCAGCCCAGTTGAATCTGTGATGGAAGAGTCATGTAAAAAAAATTAAGGAAGACACTTTAGGACCGACTGTGTTTTCCTGACATATTTTAACAAATGGAGGAGTGGCAGAAACTTTTCTCACTGATGTCAGAGACTGATAGATTGCCAACGTTATTTCAGTCCAACTGTAACGCAAGATATCAGATCACATTATTTTAAATGTCTTTCTTGCCTGGTCTTATTTGCCCCCTTCATTTCATGCAGGAACCTTCAGCACCTTCGGTCTTTTTGCTGTTATCAGTCAATGGTCTTGAACTGTCTGACCGTCTCATTTCCTCCTCTGTTCTCTCAGGTGCCGTGTGCATTCCTGTTTTCCTCCCACTGACCGTTCTCTTCCTGATCTGCGTGAGCCAATCACCAGAGGCCGGCGTCCTCCGGTGGCCCCCCTGCCTCCCGTCCGCCGACCAGCTGTGGGACCCGCTGGCTCCTGTGCTGCTGCTGGGATGGATGGGACTGCATGCCCTCCTCTACTTGCTGCCGTTAGGCAAGGTGTGAAATGTCTACAGAATGTCCACTTGGTTTTGGTCTGTCACGTAAAAATCTGAGTTAAATCCAAGGATCTCTGTGGGTTTTAATATGACAAAACGCAAGAAGTTCCAAGTGTTATGAATACTACAAATATAGCACATGAATAATCAATGACAAACCATTAAACTGTTTATATTACAATGTTACTCAGCTCTGTGAGGTGGTCGTGTTGAATATCCTTGTCGCCATTTGTTTCTTTTAGTTTTTATTTTTTTTGTTTTGGCCGCTAATGGCACTCAGAATGCAAGATCTTGTCTAAACTTACAATTTAAAATACATAATTGATTAGTCCGTAAGTGTAGAATAGCAGAAACACATAAGCAATAGTGATGTCAGGAGTTTTGGCCACTGCTTATTGCATCTTTAAATAAATATGAAATGTAAAACAGAGCAAGAGTTCATTGAGTTTCTCGTTATGTTATTTGTTTAGATTTGCACGATTATCTTTCTTCGAACTACATGTTGTGATCATTGTTTTGACACATCCTTCAGGTCTTTGAAACATCACTGCATTGTTCACAAGTATAATATTGCTAACCTTTTTGGTCAGGCTGACCTCATGATGCTGCAGCGCGTCTATTATTGAGTATTTTTTACCAAGTGTTTCTGCTTGATTTCTCACCAGTGCTCTTCTTGCATGCAGGTCTCTGAAGGATTAGTGCTGAGAGACGGAAGCCGCCTCAAGTATCCCATAAATGGTATCAATCAGCTTCATTATTAATCAACGCTTTTAAAAAGTAAATCTCTTTTTCCAAATAAATAAAGTGTGATGTTTTATCGGTTCTAGCACGACACTTTAGTCATGTTTGCCTGTTTGAGCTGAAGCTTACTTTAGATAAACATTAAATCTGTCTGCCAACTTTTAGCTGTTTTTTTTTTATGTAGTCCTCTATCTGTTTGCTCTCCCTGGGGCTATAACATTTAGCTTTGTTTGTTTTCCTCCCTCAGGTTTCCACAGCCTGTGCATCAGCGCCGTGCTGCTGTCGGTGCTGCTGGGGCTCGGCGCTCCTCTCGGATCTCTGTTTGAGCTGCTGGTGCCGCTGGCGGTGTCTGCCGTCGTCGTGTCGTTTCTGTCCTCCGTCTACCTCTACGTCCGCTCTTTCTGGGCTCCCTCCCATGCTCTGGCCCTGGGGGGAGACACAGGTGAGAAAGCGAGCTTCACCTACGCGCTGCGCATTCGAATGCCCGTTTGTTGTACTGCGGGATGTTTTTTGGTTTTCCTGTGGGTAAATGGCTAAGAGGCCTGCCGCTCGGCAGGAGTTTGCAGGCATCAGCATCAGCTGCATTCTGCCTTTTCAAGTCGGGTGACCCTGCTGCGCCAGCTGCACGCTGTTCTTATGTATCCTCAGGCAATAAGCAGCCACAAAGGCAGAAAACAGCAGAAACGGTATTCAGTTTGTGAGAGGATGAATTCTGCTAATAGAGAGAAAAACACATATGACTGTATCAGCTCTGTTTCTGCAGTCAGAGTTGCATGTGGAGCTGAAATGATTCTCAACTAATTTTGTGGACAATTGAACGTTGATCCGAGTTTACGGACTCAAACAAGGTCAATTGCTGAAAGGACAACATACTCACAGCAGCAATTAAGCCAAAAATGAATATATCTAAGAAAAAACTACTTTGTCCGTAAATACATTTTGTCCAACTCATGGCCTACTTTTAGATTTACTTGGTTGAAATTTTGCATAAAAAAAAAAAATCTTTGCTGCCCATGTATTAATTGGTTTATCTTAAAGCGAATCAACAGATCAATCACACTGTACTGACATCAAGTACAGAAAGGCTGAGCTTTCACACTTGAATGTTGTTAAACTTTAGGCGATAAAATGTTTGTTTTTTTATTTGCTTATTGGTAATTAATGTTTAAAGTTGTCAAGTATATAAATGACGCATTAATTTCTTAAAGACAACATGTTGGTGAACACCTTTGTTGTATTTACTCATCAAGAATAAGGTAACTTGAACAGTATCTTCAGCATCTTCAGAGTCGTTGTTTGTACTTGTTGCTTGTCTTGTTGTAGGGAATCCCCTTTATGACTTCTTCATCGGGCGGGAGCTGAACCCTCGGATCGGAAACTTTGACCTCAAGTATTTCTGTGAACTCAGACCAGGTCTGATTGGTTGGGTAAGTTCAATATATTCAATGTGACAAATCATGTTCTGGTTTACGTTCACATTTTTGATCACGTTTTCCAAAAGTTAGAAGAAAGCGCAACATAAAATGTCACTTTTTTTGTGTGTGTTTTTTGTTTTTCTGATAGCGATATGGGTTAGGGTGAGGCAAAAATGTGTCATAAGAATTAGACTCCCTTTCTTTAAAACCCAAACCGACCACCGGGTGGCACTGTTGCTCTCCTCTGATCGATTTGCAGCCTCAGTTTTGTCGCAACCCAGATCAAAGTTCTGCTGCCTCCCCGATGACCCAGCACAGAACCAGATTTATTGGACACTTTTATCTCGCATCTGCGTCACCAGAGAGAATTTAAAAAAAACACAACAGAGAGAGATTTATTAGTTTGAAATTAAATGTTTTTATGCCAGATACTTTCAGAATAGAAATGACAAATTAATAAGATTGAAGTAGGAAAGGAAAGTGGGGTTCCTCTTCAGTCACAGAGTAAACAGTTAAACCTTTGTACATGTGAATGTCTTAAAGCAGCGTGCGTAGGAGAGCAGAAGAAAAACCTTCCACCAACTGGCTCCAGACAATGTGTGGGATTTATTTTTTGTTGTTGTCTTTTTTACATCTTTTGGAAATGTCAAAACGTTTACTTTTTAGCGTTCAGAATATTTTTTCACAATTGATGACAATGTCCCAAATTAAAATGAACTCACATGATCGTGTCCTGACAAATTATAGTAATTTATTTACAGTTTTGAAGCGACAAAAGATTCATAAGGTTCAGAATAACAAACAATAAGATGCAGAATTACACCAAAAGTCACGGTTCACTTACATTTATCATTTGGAGGAGAAGCTGAACAATTAGTTTTGATTGCTAATGCTTTGCAATAGAAATCAACCCCCTTGAGCTTTTTGCTTTCTTTTTTTCTAAGTGTATGTTATTTCAACTTGTTCCTGTTATTGCAGTGCAGCTATTCTCTCCGCCCCTTCAGGTGGTCATTAACCTCGGGATGCTGATGAAGGAGGCGGAGCTTCGCGGTTCTCCTTCCCTCTCCATGGTCCTGGTCAACTGCTTCCAGCTGCTTTATGTGGCAGACGCTTTGTGGAACGAAGTGAGCTTTGTTACTCTTATTTCACAAAGATGTGTCACGTGTGTCAAACTCAAAGCCCGCAGGCCAAATGTGGTCGATTGGAGCCCTCTTGACTTCAAATTACATCAATAAGTCCTTTCAGTTTTTCAACAAATCTGAAAAATGTGCACAAAATTCACACAAAATCTACGAATCCCTAATTTTCTTCTCATAATTGGCCAAAAACATTGAGTTTAAGTGACTGCAGCCTTGATGTCAAATTATAGTCAGTGATCGATATAGAGAGTAATAAGTAGTCACACTTTTTTTTTTTTTTTTTTGCATTCTCACCAGGAGGCCGTTCTGACAACCATGGACATTGTGCATGACGGCTTCGGGTTCATGCTGGTGTTTGGCGACCTGGCCTGGGTTCCCTTCACCTACAGCCTGCAGGCGTCCTTCCTGGTTGTCCACCCACAGAGTCTGTCTTTGCTCACGGCGGCGCTCATCGTCGCCCTGAACGGTGAGTAGTGTTTTCATTCGATTCTGTTTCGTGGCACATTTGATGGTTTTTAAACGCGTGTTTCCGTTTGTCGTCAGGTGCTGGGTATTACATTTTCAGACAATCCAACTCGCAGAAGAACCAGTTCAGGCGAGACCCGACTCACCCCAGCGTTTCAGGTCGTCCGTCATTTCCTTTTTTTTTTTTTACCGTTCGGCAAAAGCTGTGGAAATTTATTGATGGAGTCCATTTTCTCACGTCATTTGATTTCATTTGTAATAAAGTAACCCCGCTCATGCATGTCCTCCTGATGTCAGGACAGGAGAGGAAGAAGTTGAGGGATGAATTTTTTATTTTCTTTCCTAATATGCATTCTGCACAACTCCTCACAGGACTGGAGACCATCGCCACAGCTACAGGGAAACGGCTGCTGGTGTCAGGCTGGTGGGGCCTCGTTCGTCATCCCAATTACCTCGGCGACCTCCTTATGGCGCTGGCCTGGTCCCTGCCATGTGGTAAGACCGCTTCAGACTCCCCGCTGCCTTGTTGACCAACCTCACACAGCCTCAGAGGCTCTTTTGTGTGACTTCAATCTAAAGTAGAAAATACATACAAAATCGACCAGGAATTCCTTAGTTTCTTCATGTATATCTGTTAAAAAAGATCAACTTAATTATGAAATATGGAATAATAATAGGTGAAGTATGCTCAAGCTTCTCTGTCACTTGTCTGAGTTTTTTCTTAATTATCACACTTTAATTGACTCACTTAGAAGTGTCTGATAACATGAAATAGGCTCCAGGAGCTTAAAAACCTACATATTCTGCCGCCATCTACAGAAACTCAAGGGCAGGTGAGAAAAAAAGTCACTTTTGGTCTTTCTCTTCTCAGTATGAGATATTTTTAATGATAATTAAATTAGTAATAGTTCTCTTTTAATTTATTTAAATCCCAGTTCATAGTGCGTGTTAATTACCAGCTGGGTGGAGTTTTAGTCCAATGGAAAAAAAGTTTTATTGTGATGGCCGGACAAGGCCAGTAAATATTTCAGGGGGTTACAGCTATAAAAAAAAATTATACAATGTAATATAACATAAAATAACATAACATGACTCTGAATTTTAATTTCTTTTACATAAAAATGTTCTCTGGAGGCGCAAAGAGGTGGTGAACATTTTTCAAGAGGGGGGCCATGGCCACCCCTTGTCCCCCATTAGAGGACACCTCTGTTTAAGTTGTTCATTATGTCCAACAAATCAGGTTGTGTGAATCTGTGATATGTGATCAACTGAATTGAGCAAAGAAGCACCCCTTCCTGCTTGCACATTTGCTATTTAGTTTCAATTATATATTTATATTTAACTATTTGGCTTCTTTTTGTATAAACTTCATCAACCACATAAGAGATATCCTGCATGAACAGAAGATGGTGCGTTTGTCGGCTTTCTGTTTTACTTAGCTCCTTAGATCTGTGCCACTTGGCAGGGATGTTGTTCCACTTTTTCCAATCAAAGTCTCCCTGTCACCAGTGGCTTTGGAGAGAGGTTTCCTGCTGACAGCCATGTGATCGCATCCTGACTCGTGTCAAGACCCGCTTCAGATGCTTTAGTTTCTTTCCGTCCTGGTTGCTGGTTTGGTTTTGCTTCCTTTAAAATGCATTTTGGGGATTTTTTTTTTTTTAATAGAGAAAGAAAATAGGCCAAATAGAATTATGGATTATTCAATAAATCCCTATAATCTGCGATGTAAATATCAACTTTTTTTCCGTGAGCCACCACTTCACCAGGTAAACCGCATGAATTATTGTGACAGGGTGACTCTTTGGTCTGAGCTCTTTAATGAATCCCAACCTGCTGCTGATGAAACCTTTTACAGTGAGATGTTAGCATCTTCTGAGTCACGATGACTAATAATCAGCCCTACAGTGATTATTTATTTATTTATTTATTTTAAAGTAGCTCCATATCGTACACACCCTGCATAGTAAACCACAGCAGCACAGATTTCTATCGGAAAGCCTGGTGGTTGCAATATTATTTTTGCAGATAATATTGAGCTGTGAGGATTGTGCTTTTTCTCACACGAGCCCTTTTGTGTTTTCGACCGTTTTTCCTCGTGTAGGTCGTCGTGATCCCTATTGTAGGACACCAGTGCATATCTAAAACTTGTTTTAATCTCTTTTGATGTTGAATGGCAAGACTTTAAAGTACTGATAGCTCATGCGCCCGCGCAGCTGGTCATCAAAGCTTCCCAACACCTTCCTCACTGCTTTGAGGTCATCTTTAATATCCTTACATCTCATGTTTTGTATTCAACCCGTTTCTTATCTTCACAACCATGTGGAAACCCTCCAAAACAGCCTGGGTGAAGGAAGCCATAGCTGTTTCTGGTACTGTTTACAGTATAGTCAGCTAGATAGTTTACACATTGATTAGCAGTTTTTTTTTTAACATAATAGCATAATCTCATACAGAAAAGTAAAATATCATCTTGAAAAAATATGTTTATTATTTTAGAAATTCCACCCTTGACAATCCTGATTCTTCTAACTGAAGTATTTTTGCATAGAAATGTCTAATTAGTAATCCAGAACTTCCTTATTGTGGAGATATGCCTATTGGATGACACAGAGGCTTATTCCTCAAAACAGAAAAGACAGGAGAACAGTCAAGTAATGCAGATGTGTGCGGATCTTTTGACAACATAACTGCTTGCCTAATCTTTCCCGTAGCTGCAGTGAGAGGAATGATTAAGTTTTAAACAGTCATTTAAAACTCAGGCGATGTATTTAACACCTGTAAAACGGGTTAAATATATTTCTAAAGCTTATTACTGGAAAACTGCATCTAAGGGTCACTCCTCAGGTCAGTAAGCCTCGTCAGTCCACAATCTGTCCAAGAGATGTTAATGGGAAACACTGGTTTTGGTTTTCTATGAAGGCCACCAGAGCCGAGGACCCAAAAAGAACATCTGAAGATTATTGTGCAAAGAATTGTTCTTTATAAAAATCAAGAAAATTGCAGAAAATCTTCTCTGTTTGACTTCAGTCAGAGGCTTTTTCAGTTTTGCTGTAACAGACTGCTACAGGAGATTCATCCTATAACTTATATGTAACATGCAGTTTCCCAAATCAAAATGTCTCTCCTACTATTTCAAACGTATAAGTGTGGAGTTTGTTAACTTTACGGGAACTGTGTGATTCGCTGAGATAAAACCAACTTTTGAGGTATTATGCAACTAACACTAAATGTAGTTCTGGAAGAGAAAAGGCCCTGAAATCCACAGTTAAGTACGGTAACAGACTTATTATGCTGTGGGCCTCTTTCCCTTCCAAATTCTCTCAAAATCAGGTTACAGTTCATGGCAACGTGAAGAGATTTCAAACACACATCTCTCCCCCGGATGTTTTAAGGCCTTATTTTGCCCTTATTAATCTCTTAGGATACTTCCTGTATTTTTGACCACGCAGTGAGATTTTGACACAATGACACAGCAGACTGCATCACTTTCCCTCGAACTATCCCCAAATAGCAGCTGTCAGACTTTTGTTGCGGTTGACGTTTCTCTCTTACCTCTCATTGAAATTCGGCTCAAAGTGACTCACAGCCTTTGTAACCGAGACGTGTTATGCAGTTTCTGTCTTAATTGCTGGTGCAAAATCCCAAACTGAGAAATTCTTCAAAAAAAAAAAAAAACACGGCAGCATGTTCCAGACAAAAACCGATGAAACAATGACAGCCAGACAAAGACTCAAAGTACAGGCTTGCAAAGTGACCGTGGAGATGACTCAACACTGAACTCTATGGGCATAATCAAACAGCTATTCAGCGCCAGGCTTTTATGCAACACAGACGGGAAAGACAGTGCGCTGCTATTTGCGGAGGGGGGCTGCACTCTTGATTACAGCTTGTTAAATGTGGTTCACATCACAAACGCTGGTAAGAGAAGGTGTGTGTTTCTCCTCTCCAACCCAACACTGATTAATCCCTCGGGTGACATTTTTAGGCTGCTTTTTAGGTCATTTATGCTTGTTGCTGTTCTGTTTTCCCCTCCAGGCTTCTCTCATCTCCTGCCGTATTTCTACGTGGTTTACTTCACCGTCCTGCTGGTTCACCGGGAGGCCCGGGACGAGAGGCAGTGCAGGGCCAAGTACGGACTCGCGTGGGACGCCTACTGTCGCCGGGTTCCCTACAGGATCTTCCCGTACATTTACTGACAAAGGACAACATGCTGGGTTGCTTTTTAAAAAAATAAAAAATACTGGTGCACAACCTCAGTTTACATAGAACCAGAATGTCAAATTCAGTTCAGACAGACTAGAAGTGGAACCTGCTGGTTGAGATCGACGTTTAAATCAGAACTGGTTTAGATGGTAGAGAACTGTATCAAATTGATTTTATTCTGATTTTAAAAACCTAAGACCGCAAACATCTCCTTTGTTTTGAACATATGTGAAAATGATTTCTGCCGAAGTAAGACAAAAAACAAACTCCAAAGTGCCTTTTTATTAAAATGAAGTCACAACATTTAGTGTCCATTTGGTGAAGCTTAATATAAATACTTATTTGTTGCAACTTTTTAAATTGAGTTAGCATTTAGCATTTGTTTTCTAAAAACATTTTAAAATCTTTCCAAGTTATGCCATTTTACAAATATTTTATTGGGGTTTTAGGCGATAGGGCAACAAAAAGTCATGTTTTTGTGAGGTGGATGATTTCTAAATCTTTTTAAAAGATGATTCTACAAAGTATCGACTCAGGTGGGCCGGAAACAAACGCTAGCATCGCTTTTCTTTCTCTCACGACAATTATAGTGCGAGCCATAGACGGGGGGACCAGGAGGGGACATGCCTCCCCTCTCCCCCAGTATTGGAGGCAGGCGCATTTGTCCACCCTAATAATTTCACCGCAGTTGAGAAACATTGAGTTTGAAATCTTCCACTCGTGTGCTTTTATTTTGAAGGCGCACCAAAGCGCTTCCTCTCCCGCTCTGAAGAGCTCAGAGTGCTTAAAGGCATCAGGAGTCAGAAACTCCCTTTGAATGAGGGAACACGGTCTGTCGGGAATGTTGCCATAAATATCCATTGTATATAACATCTTGTTGTCAAGTTGACTTTCATAAATAGAAACAAATGATCTTTTTAGTGTAATGTCAGTGTGAGCAATGACCACACAACACCTGATCATTATGACCACTTAACATGTATATTATATTATATTATATTATATTATATTATATTATATTATATTATATTATATATTATATTATATTATATTTTTGCAGTGCTAGAATAGTGATGCCGTTGAAAAAAGGTGAAGAGACTGAGGAAACTGTTTGAGGTTTTTAAAATGAGTGAAAACTTTTGCTGTGGGAAATGCGTTGCGCAGTAAATAGAGTTGCGGTGTAGCCGATAATAATGTGTGCATCTGAAAATCGGTTGTTAAAATTCTCATTCTGTACGATTAAAACATACTTTTTATATGTAGTTAATTCACGTTCTGATCTTGTACATTACTGTAGCGCAATATTATCGTTTACCGCAATAACTTCTGGAACAATTTATCGTCCATCAAAATGTGTTATCGTGACCGGCCTACACACATATGACATACAGAGTAGTTAATGTATTACCAGGGATGTCATAGTTACTCTGAAAAAGTAACTTGATTACACATCCTAATCAAGTTAATTTTTCCTAGCTGATAGAAAAATTCATCCATCAGCTAGGAAATGTGCATCTCTCTTATCCCTCCATCGTTTACGTTTGTGTCGCCGGACAAACGCATGAAACGTAACTCCCCAAGGAAAAAGAAGAAAGCAACAATATGTGTTCACTACAAACAGTAACTTGGATGGTAACTTTAATCTGCTTATTGGATTGGTAATGCGTTAGATTACGCACTACAAGAGGTCAGATTAGAGTGACGTGTTGATGACGTTGTTTCCTCAAGTTGTTTTCTGATCTGTCAGGTTTCCGATATGTGTCCCTGATATGTGTCCCCCCCCCATGATGATTTGGTGCGAGTTGCTTTGACTTGGTTTGTCGCACAGGAAGTTGTGCAGCAGGTAACAGTCACAGCATCTTCACTTAAACTCTCCCAGGCGACCTGCTGCAGTTAAAGCTGCTCGTTCCCAAGCAGAAAAAAAAAAAAAATCCACGGTTTGTTGCCGTGACCTCTGGTCTGAGTCGTGCCGCACGTTGTCTGCTGTCCTCGATTATGACGTTTTGTTTTTTTTTCTTCTTTGTGTCTCCAAACAAATTAAATACCTGTTTGTGACAACGGTGTTATATAAAGAATGTGTGACACTCATTTCCATTGTGATTCACCTCGCATTTATTCTGATGTCTCTCCCTGCATGCAGTCAGAGAGGTGTGCACTCAGACGAAGGAGCTCTCTTCATTTGTCACCTTTTCTGCCCTTCTGCGGCGCCGCTGGCCTCTGGCCTCACCCACACGCTGTTTTCTGTTGTTTTTCATATGCAAAGTGCTAATTAGGCGCTTGTACAATGATGGGATTATGTGCAGGATTTCCTACACGTGTTCATGCTTGTACTTGCACGCGTTTGTACATTTCTCTCTCGTGTTTCAGGATTAAGCTACAACGGTGCTGTAGAGATTTATATTAATGCTTTTTGTTGAATGTTCTGACTGGAAGCAGAAATTAAATGAGCAGGAGGAAAAAACCTTTATACCTAAAAGCGTCATTTGTCAAGTTACGTGATGTAATTAAATTTGAGGGGAGCAGGGCCCTGGCTGACTGAAACGTCGCAAGCAGTTGGGACAAAAAATGTTCACGTCTTGAATGAAACCACGAGCTGAAAGTGAAATCTGCAGCTAGTTGAGACGAATGTGATGGATATCAATACGAATGAGGCGAGAGCTGACAGTCAGAGTGAGTCACAGTCGCGTCTCCGTCTGGACAGACGATCCACGGTCCACATAAAAACATAAGTGTGAACAGGTTTGACACATTCTTGGACCCAAACGCGCTGCTAACACAACACTTCCACTTCTACGTCCGTCTGAAGATTTGCAAGGAGAACGGAAAGAATAGAACGGCAGATTATAAAAGAAATAGACAAGTGTTTCTACGCTCGCTAAAGAATTCATCCCTAGTTGAACTTTTTCCACGTTTTGCCACATTACCGTCACACACTTCAGTTTATTTGTTTATGGGATTTATTACCAACATAAAGCAAAGGGTAAGTCTGAAGCAGATCTTAACTCTGAAACCTGCGTTTTTTTTCCCTGCACAATGATGTTATTGAGTGTTTAGGGTGATGCGTTTATGCTGGATGCACATATATTCAGTCTGGAGAATAGACATGATATACTTTTTGCAGCATTAATACTCTTGGCCGTCGCCTTCCTTTCCACTTCCGCTTGATTCTCATCTTCCTTCACTGCTCCTTCTTCACTTTCTCCTATTGCAGTGGATTACTGCAATAGGTAGAGTTTTCACCTGGACCAATCAGTGAACAGAACAAGAAGTTGATGCCAATGTTCTGCCACGTTTTAGAAGTGTGGTCTGCCCGCAGTTGTAGGAGATTGTGAGCGAAGCCCTTCAGTCGACCAGACTTCCACACGTTGGCTTAACGTTAACAGCTGCTTCGCTCAGCTTGGCAGCTTATCTCTTCACAGCGGAGAGATGGTTGTTTACATTCCGGCCCATTTTGGTAAGATTCATAGCGTCGAACTGCCTCTTCACGTAGCTGACAGCGAAACATTTACGATTGCGTAGCATTTTAAATTCCAATAGAGTCTAAAGGCTGAACTATTGATTAGATTTTAAGAACTATAGATTTAATTATGTTTGTGTGATACAGTTCTTAGGTTAGACATGTATGGCACGTATCTTAATTATACAATATAATTAAATTCTGCTTAGCAATTATAATCTGATAATATATATATCAATCACATTAAGTCCTACTTGTATTAAAGCCTCTGAAAACCTTTCACAAGGTACGAATGCGTTTGCAAATAGTCTGTTTTCATATTTGGCTTCAGACAAAATATGACAAGCCCTTTAGTGTATTCCCTTTTTCTTTTTAATTAAACACACCGAATTACAGAAATTGGATTTCTTTTCATGGTCTCCTTGTCAGTGAATGTGCTGGTAATCTTCCACCAAAATATCAAACTCTCTCCGCGTATTTAAACATAAATTTCACGTGTAAGGCGCTTTGCGGTTTTCCTAACCCGTACAGTCACAATAACATGCAGCCCAGAGTGTCTTGCATAATAATGAATGAGCACAATAATTGCCAGCGTTTGTGTGTGTGTGTGTGTGTTGGTGTGCGTGCAGGCGTGCACCGGCCCGATTGTCTATGCCGATCCTGACGTTTCAAGCCCATCAGTTGTGGCCAGTTTCCATGGTTACATCTCTCGGGGAGAGCACAGACGTGGGAGAGAGGGGAAAGGAGTTGAGACAGTTATTGTGGTGGAGGGCGCTGCGAAAGGAAGAGCCCAGGATGATGGGAGTGCAGGAGTGTGAACCGTGGGCTGAGACAGAGTAGAAAAAAGCCAATGCATGTTTTTCTGTGTGTGTGTGTGTGTGTGTGTGTGTGTGTGTGTGTGTGCGTGTTACTGTCTGCAGCCGCTGTAACACACACACTCCGGGCTTCAGGGTCGGCATGACTGCTTACCTGAGTCCGGTAAAAGGATTTTTTTTTTTTTGAGCAGAAATGCGGCGCCGCGGGGCATCTGCACCACTTTTGACTTGGAATATTTTTGCTCTGAGTGAGACCCTCGATGTGAGTCAACAGGAATTTCGAGTACAATTTGGTTTCCATGGTGACAGCGGGGAGCGATATGTCCTCTTCAAACAGAGGAAAAAAAAAAAACACACCAGCTTGAATCCCTGTTGTTTTGTGTCTGAATCGTTATTCAGACTATTGATATACCGCAGGACCTTTCAGACGCCAGAAGCCCCCAGCCTGTTTTTGACAAACACCATTTGTACATATGACCAGCAGGTGTTTCTCAGCATCACACATGGTAGCAGGTCAGCTTTTCATAAGAACTTATCTAGACGAGAGCTAGTGATGCTCCTAGAATATACTTTCATATGTTCTCATCCATTTCAATTCAACTGTAGTTTATTTTTGCAAAATGTAAACAACAGACTGAAAATACCAAAAAACAAGTAAAGTTTGGTTTAGATATCTAAAAGAGAAAAGTTTGCGCTTTATTAACTGGACTTCTTTCCTACAGGTCATTAGGAATATTAATGAAATAATATCGAACTGCGTAGCTGAACGTCTGACCCGAGACAGCAGAAGGGCATTTAGTTTGTTGAAAATGAGTTACCAGCGCCAGTCAACAGTCACCGATGACTGTCGTTGAAAATACAATCAGTCTGTATTTGATGACTTGTCAAATACAGACCGATGAGTCATCAAAAACACAAATACTAGCGCACGCAGCAGGTACACCTGAGTGAAGTGGCCCCCCTCTACTCCCCCTCTTCAAATCAGACAAAATGGGTGACCATACCTGTTTGTTAGCCAGGTATGGTCATTAATACCTGGTTAGTAACCAGGTGTGGTTAACGATCATGGCATGGTTAATAGGTTGCACACATGATGTTGTTGTGTGTGTAAAGGCACACACAATATCAGCGTCTTTACACTGATATTCAAATTATTGTGAGGATGCTAGCACCAGTTGTCACCAATTAGCTGTTGAATTAGGTCGGTCACTTTAAAGGGAGTGAATATTCATGCAGTGACCTGAAGAAATCAGCTTCCATTTTGTCACTAAATGGGTTATTTTTGTAATTTGTCAAAAACAAAAAAGATGTTTCTCCCAATTGATTTGTAAGGTCAAAAAATATGTTTTAGATACAGTTTTATTGGCTAAGTTTAGCATCGTTTGTCTTTGGTTGTTTTTACTTATGGTTTCTAAATATTACACAAGGACGTACGATGACACTTGGTGTGTTTTGTACACTTTCGTTCTTTTTTCCTGACGGTTCGTGTGAAGCCGCTGCTGCGTCGTTGTCCCCGCAGACCTCCAGTGTATCTAGTTCTCATGTTAGTATTCTGGAGACATTAGCAGGAAGCGCTAACCTGCTTTCGGCTGCCTCTGAAGTGGAAGCTCTTGCCGTCTCAGTGGGGGCCTGCTCTCAGTTATTCTTGCACTCCTCAAGATGCGCCTAAATGTCTCTGCAGCCACTTCGAAATGCAGCTGTTAGCTTAGGCAGCTTTCAGCGAGGCGTTCCGTCGCCGTCTAATTTACCACTCTGTTTCCTCCTGAATTCCCTTCCCTCTGCTAGTTGGGAAGTTTTTGTTTTTTTTTTGTAATTTTCTCCTCGAGCGTACCAACCAGCATTCCTCACCCAGCTGACCTTCAGCACCAAAGAAGAAACGTGGAAGCGACTTTTGGCATCACTGTTTTATTGGGATATGGCGTGTAAATAGATGCACATCATAATGTAACCGAGTAGATATAAAGTGATTCACCAAATTGACCTTAGCATAATGATGAGGAATGTATAAAAGACGGATACGATACAGAATTTGTTAAATTCAGTTTCCTAAAATGCTTTATTTAGAGCGACTATGTGATAACGTTCCAGCAGCAGGCGGTACTCCTTCCTCTGTCGGCGGGTTCCTGTGCTTCGGTAGTGATTGTCCAGACTCCACACATTCACACAGTTGGCGGAACGACGAGGTCTCGGTGTCCTGTGATTATCCGCGAACGTCTCTTGGCACGACATATTGCTCGTCTTCCAAAACACTGGCAGCCTATGAAAGTTGCTTCAGTGATTGAAAGTGAAATCGCACAACCTATGTGACATTTTCTCCTAAGGCGATGGACGGCGTGTCGCCGCAAAGCGTCCCGAAGAAAATCGTTTCTGCAGTCGATATTACGTCGTACTACGATGGCGTTCAGCTTCATGCCATTTAATTGGGGGGGGGGGGAATCAAACAAGTTAATTAAAGGTGTCCTAGTCAAGATTTCTTTGTCCCTGACACTGGTTTGATGAAGCATACTCCAGTTCAATGCCACATTCAAGTAGCTGAAGGTTGTACGTTTTAGTTCTTCTTTGGATTTTAGATTATTATGTCTTCAATCAATATAGGAAAGCTAAAGAACTTGTGAAGATGTTCCCTGAAACGTGTAAAACTGTCATCATCCACAATCAGATGAGTTTCATTTGTCAACATGGGCTGAAAGGAAGAAGAATCCATTGCTCCAAAAAACAACAGGGAAGGTCAAATTACAAGGTTCAAATGCACAAAGATCTTAAAATTGGAGAAGTGTCCTGTGGTGCCATGAAAATGAAATGTTTTGCCATAATCGATTATTGCTATTGATTTCTCCTTTTGTTTGCTGCAGTTGTACAGAAATCCACCCCCACTGTGGGACAACAAAGGACTTTTCTATCATATTCTGGTGAACATTGTTGCATTTGTTGTGTGTCTGTATTTCTGCTGGAGGAGGGACTGGTACACGTTACATAGAGGAAGTTTATGTTTGGGTACAAATGGGTCTTTTAAATGAACATGCATTCATGTTGCATTCAGCAACATTAGTTATAAAGTCGCTTAAAGAAGAGAAAGTTGACGTTTTAGTGGCCATCAGAAAGTCCTGGTCCAGAAAGCTGTTGTAGAAAATGTTTGACCTGATTCATAACATTTAAAAACTGATTTCCCTGAACTGAATTGTAAGATTTAAAGAGGAACTGTAGAAAAATTGTTTCTCTGACTTTTGGATTCATGGTAATTAGAGCACGGTGTAAACACAAAACTTACCAAAATTTTTATTTATTTATTTATTTATTCGCTTTGAATTTATCGTATTGCCATTGTATCTGAGCTTATTGTGAGCTCCCTGGCATACAGTGCAGGTCACGTGACATGCAGGAAGGTCCGATACACACCCAATACAGTCTCTCTGCCACGGTAAGGAAACAGGCCAGTGTAGGAAAACTCGGGCTCACACAAGTCTTACACATTTTGAGAAATTGGTCATGCGTGTTTGCCAGCTAAATCAAATGGTGCAGCTGATCGGATGTTTAGTATTAGAAACTTGGAACGTATCGTTTCAACATATCTCAAAACGGCAATTTGTGAGGCTTCGGCTGAAAAAGTCTTGACTGAATGAGAAACGTCTTTCATAGGCTGCCGTCACAAATTGGTCACGACGTCTCGGCTCAAACGTTTGGCCCACGTGAACTAAAGCGGCATCATGGCGTTCCTACGCCGCCTCGATGTCTGGTACGTCGCCATCGAGTCGTTGACCTCCCATCCCGACACTCGAGCCTCACTCACCGACGTTACAAACACTGAATGGCACACCTCTGATATGTCTCATGGATTGTACGACATTGCTATTTTGTTTATTTATTTGCTTTTTTTATGCGTGTTTTTAATTGCTTTTTATACACGAGATCTCTAGTCTACCTGGGATCAGAGAAAAGTTTCAAAGACCGCTCGCTAAAAAGGACTACGGCGTAGATGCAGATGAGTGAGAGTAAACTTCACTGGAAATAAGGCGCTCTCTGCACACTAAAAGTACAACAGATTTCTTTTTTTTCTACCTTGCTTTCCTTCGTTTAAAAAAAACAAAAAACAGGTGCCAGATGTGTTAAAGGCACAGTTCTGATTTTCGAGAAGTGAAGTTATTCTCGTCTCTGTACGTTTTCCCTTCTCGACAAACGAGTTTGGGAATGAGACAACTTCTACAGATCTCAGCGTAGGGGAAAAAAAAATCAGAAATATCCCTTTAAACGCACAAATCGTGATTCATTCTTAAATGTGGCACAAGTTTTGTTTTTTCACCATAAACTTTTGGCATCATTACTCTTTTCAGAAGCATGAACCTATGAAGCAATAAATATATACGTCTTTACAGCTACAGACAAAAACCCTTAAAGGCGGATTTATGAGGCGCAAATGAAAGCTGAATCCAGTCCGCGCCAGCGCATGTTTGCTTACAGATTTGCACAAACGCAGCTTCTCGTGAACGGCTCCCCTAACGTCCTTCTGGGAAACTGGGTTCGATGTTCTACCTGGATGCCATTTGCCTCGTCGGTTCTCTGTAGAGGCTTCAGGCTTTCGTCGCTGAAGCGATCGCTCGACTTGACCGGCGCTTCAAATGTCACGACTAATTCGACTAATCACGATTTGAAAGTCGAAGGTTACAGACGTGTTCGCTTCTGTTTTTTTTGTTTTTGTTTTTTTTTCCGGCCCCTAAGTAGTTTGGAGATTCACAGTGAGCTGAGCGACCGGATCAGTAAGAGCAGCGTGGGGAAATCCAGCCCTTCAGAAATATCGTGTATCGGGATCGAAGGCATCTCAAACATCCGACATATTTTTTCTTCTTTGTTTTTTTTTTTTTTTGCTTCTTTTCAGTCTTTCAGAGCTGCTTGTTTTCTCTTTTCTTTAGGCTTTCTGAGAGCGGCATCTGGGATGAAGGGCTTAAACAAGATCCTACGTAACACCGTTACACACTCACATTCAGTCACATCGGTCTTAGGCCAAAAGAGTCGGAAAATATGAAAAGAAGAAGATTTTTGCCTCCATCGGTTTTGGATATCTTACAGCTCCTTCCGGTTTAGATCTTCACAGCACTTGTTAGAAGCTCACCAAGGCGTAGACCATGCTGAGGAGGGAAATTGGGCAAAAGTTAGGACAAGACGCATCACCGATCTGTTAACTGGTGTTGTAAAGTGATAGGAAAACACAAGTGCGCGCATGGAAACGTCTCTATTGTGAACCTTTGGCGGGAATTTGCTGGAAATATTTTGAAATTCTGGAATAACTTCAACAACTGTGATCAATTTAAATATCCAAACATAAATTTGTTGTTTTTCTCTCGCAAGCAAATGTCCATGCAAAATAATACAAGTAAGAAGGCCTCTTGAAGAACAGACTTTTAGGTAACTGGAGAGTTTAATTCAAGAATAAATGAAAATATATATATATTTTTCCCATCAAAAAGATTTTGAAAACAGACGATCGTCTGTCCTTTCGAAGATAATCTGTGTTTCACTACTTCAGATGAATTCTAACATAAGTGGAAAAATACAAAATGCCATTTTGGCTAATAAGAAAAAAAAAGAATCCCACTTAAAATCACTACAAGGATGTTAAGCTGAAAGAAGAAATTGAAAAACAGAACATTGTTTCAATGACTGACCTCTGGGACGACCACGTTCCTCCTCACCTGTACAAGTAGTAGAAGAAGGAGAGCAAGTAGAAGCCCAGCTTGCACCACGACTCCTTCTGGCAGTAGTTCAGGATGTCGGCGTTCATCACACTGACCGGGTCGTACATCACCTCCGATCCGTCGGCCGGCCGATGAAAGAACCTGAAAAGAGCAGTGGGTTTTGGCCGGTGGGCTCAACGCGCAGCGATCGAACAGCTGCTGTGGGACTGTACCTCCACAGATGGTAGAAGAGCAGCGGGATATTGAGGCCGAGTGTGACCCACTCTCCGGCGCACATGAACATCAGGCAGAAGAGGCCGTGGATGGAGTACTCTGGTACCACCAGCTGGTCGGGACAGACACAGGGAGTCGGTTAAACATCGCCGGGATGCTGCAGGCCGCACTGTGGCGCGATCCGGGAGAGCAAACTCACAGCTTCAGAGTGGAGGCGCCACCATTACAAACTGCTGCTCCACGTGAAGAAGTAGCTCCCAAGGTGTTTAGAGTGTTTTCATTTCTTTCTCGGCTTGTAGAATGTTTTTGCGGCCAGCTTTCCTCCACCAAATCAGTAGTTTGGTCCCGTTGTAAATGTGTTTGAAAGCGAGTTTTTTGTGTTGATGCATTGAGCAGCGTCCTGAACCACCAGACTGCTGCTCAACAGTCTGAATCCAGAGCTGCTGCAATTCTTTTCTACTTTTTTGCCCTTATGTGTCCTTCCTGTTATCTGTTTAATGGTTTTTCACACAATTGCGCCATTATTTTAAGGTCTTGTGTCGGATTTGAATGGAGGTATGGGCTTGGACTAGGCCATTCCATCAGGTTGATCTGAACCATCCCATCATAGCTCTGGCTGTTTTGGGGGCGTTGTTGTCCTCGCACTGAGGTCTGCGGCTTTATTATTTAACAGTGAACATACAGATTCTTTAATAACTTTTCTTCAGGTTAACTCAGAAAGCGAGCCATTATTGTTACGAGTTAATTTCCTAGACTACAGAAAAGTAATTTTTAGAGAAGCTCAAATATGAAAAATTGGGCCGATATTGATATGTGACAGTAAAACTGCTGTAATATTAGATTTACCAATTTTTACTTGATTTGTTTTTATGCGGTTACCCGATTAATCAGAAGAATAATCGATAGATTACTCGATTACTAAAATATTTGTTAACAACAAGCCTAAATTGCAGAATGATTCCAAAAGTGTCATTTATATTCTTAAGATCTATTTTTCTTGTCTCTATGTTGGAAACCCCACCAGCGTCTCTATTTAATTACAATATTTGAACTGTAACTAAATATTTAATTTGCAAACATTTTTTTCTTGTTTTTTAACTGACATTCATGAAGATTGTTTTCATATCATGACCGACATTTGAATTTATTCAAGTTATTTGCTTCTCTTTCTCTCTTTTTTCAAAACCTCCAAAAAAAGACAATTTAAAGCAGTTCTTTAAAAATAAACTTCTTATACTAGAAGTGTTTTTTATTTATTTATTTTATTTAATGGCAGCTTTTTTTTCCATTCAAGCTGCCATCTTTCAAACGTTTATGCAACATTTGTGGCTCTAAACAGGTTTTCTGAAGCTTCGCGCATGATGCTGCCACCACCACGTTTCACAGGAACGTCTGGGGTTTTTTCCCCCCCAACACGTAACGCAGTTTCACGTCTTTATTTTACACTTAAAAATGTTCGTCAGAGTTGATGGTATGAGCCCCTTCCGACTGCAGTGCAACATCCGTAACAACTCAAATGCTACACTTAGAATCTTGCCCTGTTTCTACATCCATTTTCAAAGAAGCATAAAGAGCAACAGGAACTTTCAGAGATCCTTGAGTTTAGATTTTTTTTTTTCACTAAAAGCTTTGAAACAAGATAAAGAAAAAAAGAAACTCCACAGATAAAATCTTTGATGGCATCTCCATCACCGCCTGACTGCAGGACAGGAACATACGTGAATCAGTGTGTGTGTGTGTGTGTGCGAAAGAGACAAATGGTCTTGGTTGTCTGAAGCCCCTCTGTCTGAGTCATGGTTCCCCTTCTACCCTCCCAAAAGGTGAGAAGCATCTGTTACTCACTCTGCGGAGCAGGTTGCAGATCCTCTCGATGTTCAAGATCCTTTCTCTCTGAAAAGGCGCACAAATAAAGAAAGAACATCGCTTGTCAATAGTCTGCAAACTGCAAGATGTTCCTACAGAACAAAAGCAGTGACACAATGAAAAGTGGGGACCAGAACAAATGAGCTGGAGATGATATTAATGTTGGTAATTATTAACTAAAACATTCACTTGATTCCTGTTTTTTTTTGTTTGTTTGTTTTTGAAAAGCTAAGATTGATCACACTCATAAACTCGTCCACATTTAATGGACTGCGATGTCTTGGCTGGGCGAGCCAACAGCCCTCCGGCGGTATCTGATATGAACGCTGTCCATCTTTCACAGCATCGACGAACCGTCGGACACTAGTTTGGATTGTTCGCTAATAAGCTCAAATATCATTAGCCCAGTCATTAGCAGATGGTTCGTCCATTTTATTTGATTCATTTGTTTATTTTCGGCGAAGCAAAGTTACTACATCAAATAAGAAACACTGGTTAATCAGCAAGTCTAATTCCCTTTTATTTATGAGTCTGAGCTCCTTTTTTTTTTTGAAAGCTTCTGTCTCGGGTCGAGGCCCCTTGATGTCTGCTCCCTTTAGTCGACTTTCTCTTTTTTTTCCGAAAATGTGGACATAAATGGAGAATCCCCTGCTGACCTGAGAGTAAATTCTGCCCTGAATCTTCAGCCAGCTATCAACTATTCAGCTTCAGCACAGTTAGCTCGGTCTGTCTGACTCCCTCCGTCTTTTTCGAGCTCGGTGCCCCACATCCGTCACCAGCGCAGGTGACGCGGTTCGACGTGTGAACGCAATAAACCGGACGCCTTCCGGTTTGGTGTTGGAGTCGTCACCGAGGTGCCCTCATTTGTGCCGGGTCGATTCCAAATGAACCAGACGCTTATCAGAGGCGGTCGAGAAATTACGCAAAGCAAATAAAAGAGAACGAAAAACGATTTAGAGACAACAAAACGTAATTTGTGTCTGCTGTTTTGAATAATGAAACACTTTGACATGTTTTTGTTTAAATCAAATTGACACAAATGATGATTCTGCAGCCGTATTTAAAAAGACACATCCTGGTCTTTTTAAATACGAAGCAACCCACGAAGGGTTGAGATTAAAAAGCCGCCATTTTTCTCGGAAAAGTCGTGTCTGTTTCTCAAAGTAACAGCGCATTTTCTGTGACATAAAGCCGGATCGTATGAGTTTCCAGTTGGAAATACAAAAATTATTCTAAAAAAAACACTGAAGCTGGGAGTCCTTGAATGATCAAACTATTTATTGGCCAATCTAACCATTTCTTTCTTGTTGAACTACTTTTCAAATCCACAAAACGGAAGAGAAAATAGAGGCTTGTATTGTTAATAGTAGCACCAAAAAATGTGCAAATTCAGAAGTTTCCCTGATGTCTAAAATGCGGTCGACTTCGGTTTTGTCACTCGAGGTCTGATTTCTGGGCCAACCATGTTGTGTCTGTGTTGGAGTCTCTTATTTTGAAGTAGTAATTTAGTTGTTGACCTGAGAGTTGTTTCATGAGGAGCGTCTGCTGTGCGAGATGAGACCAGTGTTAGACGAATGCTTACTGACTGTAAGAAGGGGATTTCAGCTGAGGTATGAAAACAATTGAAAGGATCGACTGCGCTTGCAAGATTCCAACTGTGAATATCAGCGACAAACACAAATCCAAACTAGAAACGCACGTTTCAACACTGCCGTGTTGTCTGCATGTGACTCCTCTCTCAAATGTTTACTGCCTCTGTTGTTTTTGCACACAACGCTGGCCGAGTGAACGCGGGTTTCTCTTGGCTTAAATCAAACCATGGCTGTGTACTTTCACCGTCTATTTCCAGCCAGCTCCTCTTCAGTTGATTTGTAATTTTGGGAGAAGCTGCACATCAGCTTTTAGATGCCTGACGTGTTCCAGTTGCCATCTTACTGTGTGTGTGTGTGTGTGTGTGTGTGTGTGTGTGTGTGTGTGTGTGTGTGTGTGTGTGTGTGCGGGGGTGTGTGTGTGTGTGTGCAACGCCACTCAGTCATGCAGCTTTGACGCAACGAGCTTTCAGCGTCGAAAAATGGCTTCCACTTTCTTTTTTTTTCCAGAGACTGTTATGGATTTTACAGGTGGTGCAGCTTTTGTGTCCACTTCCTGTGGCTGGCGTGCCTCCACACATCCACAGCCTGGTTTCACAGTTTCCTCTCCCGCCCCTCATCGCTCCCTCACTGTCAGACGCAGGTTCACTTGACTGCTAGAACATTAGCTGTCCTGTGAAAAAAAGACACTCACAGCTGCTCCTCGGTTGCTAAGCCAATGATGGCACTCATGAAAGCTGATAACTAAAGACAGGAATCACACACTGATGTTTTCTGCAGCTTGTTGGACAGTAAAGTATATTTTTTGTTTTTTTAAACGGTTCTCTCTGACAGCCTCGCAGTTCATCATTGTCTAAACAGGGGCTTCATTTGAACGGGTCTCTTTAACTGGTTAGGCCAAGGAGCTCACGTCTTTCAAGAGCGCTGATTGCTTTAATCTGCATACAAATAACTTCTCAAAGAAACAGCGTCCGCTTCACCGATCGCTTGGAAGCCCGGGATTAACGGTAAACTCGAAAGTGCAAATATTTATTGCTAAGAAAATGAACGCGTCGCCCTAAACGGAGCTCACTCGAATACCCAGAGGGATACCCAGACCATTAGATGGTGGCTGCCTGCTCTCTTTACATGATGTGTGTGATGATTATGAAGAAAAAAAAAAGAAAAACATCTGAAAGCAGAGATTGCTCTTTGAGCACATGAAGGTTTGATGGTCTCTTTCTCTTCGTTTTGGTTTTAGATTTAGGGAAACAACAGGGTTCTTCTTACCGCTCTGGTGGGATTGCTCTGATCAATGGGGTTTTTGAAGTCTGTGCGGAGCTCATCAAATGCAATGATCTGAAACAAGAAGAAAAGAGAAAATGGGGGTGGGGTTGAAGTAGCAGAACGGTGTGAGAAAATGTCCTTTCGACTTTTTAGACGCACTCGTAACAATTGGCTGCAGGCCGATGCTATCGACGAGCGGCGCCTCCCGGTGTGTACCGCCCGGCTGCGGCCGCATCGTGAGAGGCACACATGGTGATTCAGGGATGGATGTGCACATATGCAACTAGTGGAGGCATCGATCTGGCTTGTCTTGTGAACGGCAGCGTTCAGAAAAAAACGCTGACCTATTCATTATTGATCAGTAATTAAAAGCATCCATGCGTCTTGCAAAGTTTTTGAGGGACAAAATGCAAGAGTTTTCCGTTTGGATGCATTTTGGAAATGACTGCTCCTTGAAATGCAAGGAAAGAATGAAGGGAACCAGGGGAGGAACCACTTGGATGCATAATAGAAAACGTCCCGGTAATTTCCCCCTATCTGAGTCCATATGGCGCCCCCTCAGCTCTCACACTGCGCTCCCTTGTAAACAGATGCAGTTTCCATGGAGACATGGTGAGTCCCCTCACTGGGCACCATGGTTACTCTTGAAAGAGAAGGAGGGGGGAAGCTGATTGGTTGTGTGAGCCATACATAGTTTTGGGTGCTGCACCCAGTGGGTGGAGGCAGACACGAGGGGTGGGGGGTCGGAACATATTTCTGGTTTGACGGGCGTGTTTAAATCACCACAGAGCCAGACACATGCCTCTCATGCAGACACAGTGGGTGAGACACACAGTCTCACCCACTTCGTCAACTGGGACATTAGTCATTTTAAGTCCTGCAGTCCTAATGAGGCGTTTCATATTTCGCTTTATGCCTGCCTGCCTCCATGCAGCAAATGTAAAAATAGGTGAGACGTCGAAGCGGAGATGTTTGCAGAGCGTGTAGCCGCCAAACAAAGAGCTCAGGTCTCCTGAGGTGTCTGAACAAATTCCACCCAAAACAGGGAGCTGGATGGAGCCCAATCTGGCGGGTCAGAGTCATGATCGGTGTGGCTTTCATGCAAGCCTGAGCACTTTGTTTGAGAAAGTGTTTGTCGTCTGGAGCTCTCCAAGGGCTGACTGATGGCATAATTAGAAATCATGCATCCAGGGAGAGTGCTAGCTTGTTCGGTGCCCTGGGCGAGCAACACTCAGCACCTCCTGCCCCCCACTCTCGCGTTGTCAACCAACCATGACACATTATTTCAAATTTCCACTTTCCGAAGCAGGCGTAATGGAAATTTGATTAAATCTTATTTGAAAGACACAGAAGTGGAACACGGCACAGGTTGCACAGTGTAGAAAGTGCAAGGAGCTGTATATATATATATATCTATAATCTTTTTGATATTGATAAGTATCAGTTATCGGACACAACAGCAGTATCGATATTGGAAAACAGTCCAAATTTTCATATGTTAGCATTTCCATTAAATAGTCTCTTGCTGCCCACATCGCTAATTTCAAAAACTGCTACTGTGTGCATCATTATGTTACCTTACATATTTATTTCTTTTAAAAGGAATAAAAATCCAACTGATCACATTTCTGCTAAACAGAAATGGACACATTCATAAAAGAATGCATCTACCTGTACGACTTCATTACAAATCTGGGCAAAACTTTGCCAATATTCTGCTAATGTTGAAAATACACAATTTTGCAATGGTGGTGTTTCCATTATATAAAAAATGCAACTAAAATCACACGTGACATTTATCATAAACCTGAGTTTTCTCAAAATTGTCGTGTTTATTTAATCATATGATCAACAGAAACTATTCTAAGGTCATATAATCTTCAGCCATGAGATATAATTTCAAAGATCAATAAAGTTTATGTTACTCATAAAAGTGCACAGTTGGAAACTGTCTATCTAAAAGCAAAAACCCATTTTTACTACTCTTACTACCGTTAAAGTATTCACAAAAACGGCACAGTCAAAGTACTAATCAAAATTTCAGGTAAAGTAAAAACAATGATGCACAATTTAATTAATTATTTCATGCCTGGGCTGTTAATCAATTTAAAAAAAAATTATTTTGTTTTACCTATTTTTTAGGTAAAACAAAATCTGTGAAATCACACTGGTTAGTCGGGAAGAGGCGTAGAGCGACACAAACACACACACATACACAAAACATCTTTTTGATAACGTGGACAGTAATAATGGGTTAAATTGACTGTGTGTTCATTGGTTGTCATAATTACTGACCCCCGGAGTCGTAGTGGTGGGCTGCAGCCTGAACTTTAGGTACGCCTCTGGCTCCAATTACAATATCACATTTTAGGACTTTTAAAAAAGGCACATTTACTTGTTTTACTTTTACCCTAAATAGCCTGAGCCAATAAGTGTTCTTGTGCATAAGAAAAGAGAGAGAGAGAGAGAAAAAAAACCAAGAAGTGTTGTACAACTGCGTGTAGGTGGACGTGTTTGTCTGCCTGCGTGGGATGATATAAGAGTGGACGTCCACAGGCCCCAACATGTGCCTGTTTCGCTGTCAATGTGTGTGTGTGTGTGTGTGCGTGTGTGTGTGTGCGTGTGTGTGTGTGCGCAGTGGTTTCACTCACCTGCCATATGACAAAAAAGATGAGCCCGGCGCACAGAACCAGGGTGAGCATGTAGCAGAAGGCCGCAAAGGTGAACGCCATGTCTTCCCCAGCCAGCCTGATGACCGGAGGGGGGGGCAACAAGGAGGAGAAAAAAAAAACTTCCCACCTGCTTCCTTCCTTTCTTTCTTTCTGTGTGGTTTACCGGCTGCCGGTATCCCTCCCTCCTGAGTGGTGGCTTTATTGTCTGTTTCCACCCCAGGTGCAATCACTGCAAGTGATCAATAGTGAGCTCAAGCTGCTTCCAGTGTTTGTCTCCCCCTTTTTGTGCGGCTGACAGCAAGAGGCTTCGGGGAGCTCTGAGGAAATCTGTTCTTCTCAGCCACAGTTTCGCTGTTGTTGCCCTCAAACAGCGCGCACACACACACACACACACACACACACGGTGCTCCTCTTTTTTTTTTTTTTTTTTCTCTCTCTGACAGGCAAATAGTCTGCCTCCTCCTCCGCCGAGGAGTTTCTCCTGAGACAAAACCTACACATACGTCTCTGAAGGTAAAAGTGTCTGATGGACACACACAGACAGCAGAAGCACAGGATTGTTGTCGTTATTAAGAGCATTAAAAAAAAACGAATAAGAAAAAATCAGGATCACTGTCCAGGGTGGTTATGGCTTACGGCAGTCAAGTTTATTATGGCTTACAGTTCGTTTATTGGCATGTTATTCCAGGTCATATTTAATGATTATTTCAGCTTATTTCTATCAGTGTTGAGCATTTATAACTCCCTTCTAAAGTTGAAGGTATTGCTTCGCAGGCTCATTGTGACAAATACTTGTTGCTCCGGTGAGTTACCCAAGGAGGACTCGGAACGGCACCGCACAAGTTTGGAATACGCAGGAAATTTCCGAAACACTTCAAGGCTCAACGAACGCACGACCGAAAGCAAGGACGGACGCCTTCACTGACCTTAACATCGAGCAGGGAGTACCTGTCTGCCGGAGCAGCCGTGTCTGCCTCTGAACAGTCCACTCTGCCCTTGGTTCTGTCAGTTTGGGTCGGCACCATTGTCAGTGTTGTCTGCCCTGTATCTGCGTCTCGGATGCATTCCTCAGAGTTCCCCCGACCTCAAAAGAGAGAGAGACAGAGCCTTCACACACTCAGGTTCTTCTCTGGGGGAAAAAAAACCCCCAAAAACGTCTCACTTCTGGTCGGAAAGAATTAAAAAAAGAAAGAAAAAACAAAGAGAGTGGAGGGGAAACGATTCAACCAGAACACTGTAGGGAATCTACATGTTCACAGTACGCAGTGGTGCTGATTTTGAAAACACTCCTGTTGACAAGCAAGACATCTCCACAGCTCTCAGAAGTCATGACTTATAGATGGCAGCCTCTCATCTCCCTGCTTGTGCCGCCTGTCTACCCAAAGCCCCTCTGTTACAGACCCCCTTGTTTTTTTCGCAGAGATGCGTATTTCCTCAGTCTGCCGTCTCTGGCTGCCTCTTTCCACTATTTCTTAGACTGCAAGAGCAACATTTCAACCACGGTCGGCGTTATGAAAGTCAACCAATAGCGTCTCTCCGTCTCCCTCCCCGCTCTCCTGCTTTCTCTCTCCTCCCTCTCTCCTCTTTTCCGTCAGTGTCCCTCTCTCGTGCATTTTTATATTTCTATAATCCCCCGATCCCCAGAGACTGATGAGGAGGCAGGGCGAGCTGGAGATGTCTGCCTCCCTCCCCGTCCTCCTCACCAGAGCTTTCAATCATCCATCACTTGGTGAAATGCAAGTCTGGCTCTGAGAGGGTGTTGCTTTCTGTTACCTGTCATTTCCTGCCTCCGCACCATTAGCATGCAGTGAATTGCTGTATTTTACTTTGCCTCGGTCTCATTCCCCCCCACACACACACACCTCTATCAGTCATTCTCAGCTTCACAATAAACTGATTTCAGAAACCGCTGGTGCCGTGATGCAAAGACGTGCCACGTAGTTTTGTTTTTTTAAAATTGAAAAGCCTCAAATAATTTTGTTTTCTAGTTCTGAGCGTGGACATCTCCTGTCAAAGATATGGGAAGAGAAATGTTCACAGCATCCAATGGTTCGGTCTCATTTTCTGCATCAGGACCATGTAAGATGGTGGTCATAGCCGTCGTGTTTCTGCTCATTTTAGCTGGAAATCTACCAGATATGTGAAGAAAGTTCTCTGGTCAGATGAGACGAACCTGACGTTTCTTTTGTTCAGATCCGAATCGCAGTGCGTATGTAGCACATTGTCACTCTGGTGAAACATGTCGGCGGCCTTTCATTAGCAGGTCGGGTGGAAGATGGATGGAGGTGAACGGAAGAGAACGATGTGGGAAGAAAACCTGTTGCATGATCTGGCAGCGAATCGAAATGTCACCCCAAACCTAAACACAGCTCAGTATCTGTGATGAGAACTAAGAATGTCTGTTCACACCTGCTATCCATCCGGTCTGACCAAGACTTGGCAGGGAACTATGGACAAAACTATTGGTAGTTGCTGAAAATGCAACAAGTGTTGACTTAAGGGAGCGAAACACATGTGGACATCTTCAGTTAACAGGTAAACTCAGAGTTTAATATGTGGAACGTCTTGGCAATACGTTGCAAATGATGCTAAAGCAATGAGAAAAGCAGTAGTTGATGATTGTGAGACTAAGAAATTGATGGTGGGGGATTGGATTTACATTTAATAAAGTAAAAAGGTAAAAGCTTGGTAGTGTAGAGTAATAAGTCCAGGTTGCAGCGCTGGAACTTGGCCAGATCACGTTTCTACTGAAAACCAGAGTGAAGAGGACGACCGCGGGTCCTTCATCGTTTGGTGTGAGGATATGATCAGAGACGGCAGCCATGACATCTCATTGAAAGAGCACAAGCTGACATATAGACACTTTTCCCGTTTTAACACAAAGGAGATGAGCTGATGACAAAGTCATTTTTCAAGAAAATAATCAATCTTGTCCCAGAACAGAGTGTTTGATCTCGTACCAGGATTTCTGATTTTGCGTCATAATTTTCTCTCATGATCAAGACCATTAATCCCTACTTCTTATTTTTTCGTTTTTTTTTTTTTTTTTGGACTTATCTGTGTTTTAGACATTAGATCTTCAACTGACATGGCTTATTATTTTATTTATTGTGCAACAAAATAGATAGAAACTCTCACAAAAATTCATTATTTTCTCCTCAGGTTAATAGAGCACATTGAACATGAACCAGTGTGTTTCGAGACTAAGGTTATTACTCTATTGATTATTTCTGTGTGCATCTGGGGTCTCCAACTCTCAAGAGACTCATTTTAAGAATTCATATCCAGATTGCAGAGTGTGTGTGCAGGGAAATCATTTGGACAGCAGAATAGCGCTTTAAGATCGTTGGGGAATTATGTATGTTGGGGATTGAGTAGCTTCCACTCAGTGTTATTAAGTCTCTGTATTCTTAGTGATTACGGTTTAGCCTGCAGTCTGTTCAACAAGTTTCCAGATCTAATGTACATTCATAGTTGTGTTTCCCTCTGAGCTATTTGGGTTGTCGAGCAAGCAAAACCAAATTGAACATCTGATGTGTCGTAATGATTCTCTTTGCCGTCCGTATTCAGTAAATAATGTCATGTTCCACTGGTGTTGAAAGCTGACAAATTAGAGGGCTTTGGCTCCATCTAGAGTCAGAACCCCATAACTCATCAAAAGTGATGTGTTTTCTGGGCCTGGATCCATGGGAACCAGTCCAGCAGGGTTCGTCCTCCGGCCTTCAGAGTGAAGATCTTAATCCCGGGTTTCAGTGCACGTACATTAATAACTGGTCGACAGCCTGGTGACGTTTCTTCATTTGTAGGTGTAACGACAGCAAAGTTGCTTAAATGCAAATCGAGGCTTTGCTGGCGTACGTTGAAATTTTTATTTGTTTCTTTTCCAAACGGCTGTGTGTAAACCCGACGTTTGCTTCCGTTTCCTCTTACTATCATGACAAATTTCTGATGTTTCTCTATGTTCAAAATTGAATACCTTCATTTTCATCCCAAAACCTTTAGACCTGTAACAGACGGACCTCTATTAAAACCACATTTCAATTCCTGCAGACAGTTTAAAGTCTGCTTAATTGAGAAAAGGCTCATTCTGAGACTTCTTGTTGTCTCATCACCGACTTTAGGCTTCCCACTAGTGGTCGTGAGAAGACATCGCAGCTCCCTCTAAATACATGAAAATATCTAACATTCTTACCTAAAAAACAATTTTGTTATGCCAGTATAGTTTCTAACAATTCACACAAAGGAAGTGTCAGGAGAGACGCAAGCAATGCAACATCAACACGTAATTTTCACCTATTGAAGATGCAAAATTAAAGACATAACTGTGAAACGACTATTTCTGTCATGCTGTTTGGCAAGGCATTAGACAGTGTCCTGCAGTGGGACTCAGACCCTGTACATTGTCCTGACTCTGCATCAGCCATTTTATATGCTGTAGTTTGTCGGAGAAGCTGCATCGTTTGAACAGGATGTGATTAGTTAAGGTAAGTCCCGTTCTATTTCTATTCTACATTTTGACACTTTATGAACAGAATCAGGATTTTGATGGATAAATTCACAGATTGCTCATGGCTTTTAATAAAAATAAAAAAAGTGCACGTTGTATTTGTATTCTCATCTTCTCCCGCTGTCCCATTAACTCTGAGCAATTCTGGTCTTACCAAACCAGTGCACCTTCTTCCACGTCTTCTTCATTCCTTTGTGTTACCTTGGATAAACTGGAAATTGGACTGGAAACACCTTATTTGACATGGTGTGCGAAAGACCGACATGTCACTGTCATAAACTTGAACAAACGCCCGTTTTGAACATGAAGGAGTCTTTATCTACGTCTACGACTGTCACAAAGTGTCATTTGGTAAATAATGACATTTTTAATGCAAAGTTGCTCTAACAGTTGCGTTAAAAGTACATTAAAAGTGCCAACTTTGCATTAAAGTGTTGTTATTTACCAAATAATACAAAGTTGGCACTTCTAACTGACTTTTAATGCAACTTTCTCCTTTATTTGACACCCTGTCAGATAAAATGTCACTATTGGACTTTGTTTGGTTTTCTTCCTGACATGCTTTAGATTTGTGGAGTGAAATGTTGAACTAATATCAGATTTTCCCACATGATCTGTGTGTTTCTTCAGTTTTAGAGGTACAAGTCTTCTTGTATGCCTCGTAATATCCAGCTTCTCGCTGCAATATAAAGTGTCAGCTGTAAAAAATGAAGCAGATCAACAGCTGTAGTCATCCAGCTCTTTCGCTGAAACCTTTTCATCAGTCCAACCTGTTCAGATTGAAAATTGGCCACAAGATGGCAACATATTAGAGGCAGAGGCAGCAACAGATGGTCAGGTTGGCTGTTCTAACAAATGACCCACTAAAATAAATGTTCGAAATGTCTGTTTAATTGGAGCTAGTGAATGCTTTGAGGCATCTGCACCGCAGCATGGGTTATATGTGATTTGGAGGCAGAAAACTGCTCTGCAAACGCTACGACCGTCTGTACTTACATTCACCACAGTGGTTGGAAAAATGAAACGCATGCGACGGTGGAGGTTTGTAGAAGTGGAGCATTCGATGGCACTACAGAAAGAGTTTAATGTCTCCCAAATGGCAACCCTCCATTGAGTTTGATCACAAACTAGAGATGCACTGACTTGGTTTTATTGTCTGTGTTGGTCTCAGTATTAAAAACTATTCTAGATCAGATATGGGTCACTATGTGTCAGGTCTATTGAGTCTAATTCTACACTTTGTGCTCTGAGCGACATGCTTTATTATTTATTTCACATTGTTGTCCTAACTGTTAAAGTTGTGTTGCTTTTACATGTTTGACCAACACGTAAAAACTATTGGTGTTTCAGTGTTCGATTGTGGTGCAGAGTTATCAAACTAATTTGTAATTCAGTACATTTTTGTCTGTGTTTTTTTGTTCGTGTTTATTTTTAAGAAATATTTTAAGTCAATTCAGCACCGTTTCTCTGTTTCCGATCGGTATCTGAACTTGAGATATCGCTGTCGGTATCGGAAGT